GTCATTGGATGGTGGTATTATACTACCAACAACTCTGAGATTCTGAGATTCCGATGAATTTAATTTTTGAGCACTTTAATGTTTTAAATGGATTTTAAATTGTACATGATGTTTTAATTGTATTATGGTATTGATGTTTTATCAGCAAGTTCTTTCTTGCCTTGTAAGCCGCCCTGAGCCCCACGGGGAAGGGCGGGGTATAAATTTAATAATAAATAAATAAATAAATAACAACAACAAAAAAGGAGACTACAAAACTAGAGAAACTGCACAATGGTATAATATATACAAAGTGCAAATCAATAAATTCTGCCTATAATTTCATAAAGTGGGCATGTGTATGAGGGCCTTGTTGGTAGTGGTTTCCCAGGGTCTGAAGCTCCACGCCATGTCTTGTCCCTGGACCTAGGAATGATTTAGGCTGAATTTACACAGGGCCCTTTTCTGCCCTTCTCCCACTGTTGGTGTACAGTCGCAAAAAGGTTGCATTTTCAAGAACAGTTTCATGGGAGAAAGCCCCATGGAATAAAATGGGATGTACCTCTGATTAGACCTGTTTAGGCTTCCTCCCTCAAGGTCCAAGTGCATAGGTGAAAAACAGAAAGGTTGCTTTAAATGTGCTCACATGAGGTTTCTGAATCAATCGACTGTGCAGGAAAGTTGATCTATTGCTGTTTAACCTTCCTGTGCTTTGCAGTGCACATCTTATTATTCCCTGGGTGGTTTTATTGAGTTTTGTTCCAATCCTTTTGATTGTTACGGTTGACTGCTTGGTTTTATCGCCGGTTGTAATGCTTTTATTACTTTCATTATTGCATTGGTATTTTATTCTGCTTTTTCGTTGTGCCGTGTTGTGATTGACGGCTCTTAGGCAGCTGTTGCTTGGCTTTTGTTGCTTTAGACTTTTTTTTTTAGATTTTCATACTGCATTTTATCTATTTCCTCTTTTTTGAAACTTTACTTTGTCGGCTGTCTTGAATGAGGTGTTAAGCAGAAAGGAAGGGATAGATGTTTTCTAAACACCTACTAACTGCCCATAAACATCTACTAACTTTCCATAGGTGCCACGCTTAGCAGTAGAAATGGCTACTTCAAAATGCGTCATCCTTGCTGTGCTGGTTTAGCTAGGGCTTCGTCCTGGGATATGGAAGCAGTGTGTGTAGTGGCTATGGTATCGGACTAGAATATGACAGAACTAGTTTCAAATCCCCATTTTGCTGGGTTATTTGCTGGGCGACTGTGAAACACTGACTTTCTCTCAGCCTCACCTACCTCACAGAGTTGTTGTGAGGATAAAATCAGAAAAGGAGATCCATGTGACAAAAATTACAATTTTTTCAGCTGATACATGGCAGGAGAGTGTTTCTGTCTCCTCAAGTCTGGCGACAGGAGGAGGTCTCAGTGGGACTAGAGGAGGTGGGAGCACAGGTTCCTGGTTCTTTTGCTGGTTTTGGGGCCGAGCAACAGAACCCAATGTCAGTCAGGGCCTCAGCTGTGGCATGCGTGTTCTTTAAATGCTCTCTCTGGTGAAAAGGGAGCCTGGATACCTGGGTTCTGTTCAGAACATGAGAAAGGTGGGGGATATTGGCTTAGACATGGGTAGCAGGGGCTAGGGTCCTGGTATCTGTGGGTTTGATCCTGAATTCCATGTGGAGAAAGGAATTTTATTCACCCTGGTGCAGACAGCCAAAGTGCCTGGGTTCTGTCTCAAGGATCGGGAGAGTGAAGAGCTGTGGTGATCAGAGAAGGTGGAAGGAAAACATGACCGGGCCTGAAGGACAGTAGAGGTTGATCTCTTTCCATGTGCTTGTATTGCTGGCTGGGTGGGGCTTGGCCTGCTTGGAGGGGGTGGAAGACTGGAGACACGCCCAAGGAGCCTGGGAAGCGGAAGATAAAACGTATTCACCAAAATAACACCCGTGTTGAGCAGAAGTTCAAGTTACCAGAAGTTCAAGTCCTTGGATGCCTCCGTTTATAAGGCTCTTTTCAGAACGTAAATTGAGACTTGTTCCGTCATGATCTCTGACGCCTCACAGACCATAGGCTGCAGCCCCCGTGGTCAAGGCCCTGCTGTACCAAGAGAAGCCCACACTGGGCTCAGAATGAGTTGAAGCTCTTGCTCCGTTGAAGTTCCTGGTGGCTATATGCCTGGAATTGCATTCGGCTCCTGGTCAGGCGCCACTTGGCCTGATGTTCACTTCTGCTCTTTTACGGAAGCTTTCGAGACAGTTTCCTCCCCAGATCTGGTTTGAGGAGGAAGGGGAAATTCTGACGCCTTCCACCACAGCCAGCCAGCCAGCCAGCCTTGTGCAGGTGATGGCTAGGGAAAAGGGGAAGAGATTAACTGACTGGCTTTCTGCCCTAATTTCTGACCTGTATTAGTACCCAGAACCCAATATATATGGTGTAGAATAGTGTGATAGTATTTTTTCCCTAAGACCTAAGAGGTTTTCTTTAAAACCTATAGGGATTTAACATTATCTATGGCACACTGACACACAAACACCCCTGTTCTCTTTTTGCACAGTTTTTGAAGCTGGTTGGTTTTACTTGGTAGTACCTGGCTGGTTGGCTGTGGTGGAAGGTGTCAAGAGTTTCCCCTTTCTCCTCAAGGCAGATCTGCATGTGGTCAGAGGCACTCCTTTTGCAATCACTTTTCATGTCTGTTTTTTTTCTTCATCCCACTTTTCCGCCAAGGAGTGCAGGATGTTATGCACAGTTTTCCCCTCCTTCATTTTATCCAGAAGCAGATCAGGCTGACAGAGAGAGAAAGTAACCAGTGAAAGTTAATCCAGTAAGCTTCATGGCAGAGTGGGGACTTGAACCCAGGGTCTTCTACATTCTAGTTCAATACTCTGCTACACCATGCTGGCTCTCAGGCTCAGCCCTGGGGAGGCAAGCTCTGGAAGAAAGGTCTGTCTTCTTTACCCCATTGCTAGAGTATGTGAGTTCTACCCAAGGATGCAGAGCAGCTCCCTTGTTATTTGGGTCAGATGGCTTTTCCCAGTTCCAGCATAAGGTTTCTTTCTAATGTGCAGGTTTGGCAATTGGAGCATCTCAGGGAAGGACAGTTGGAGCATTTTGGGTGTGGTCATATTTATATTTCCTTGCATTTGGTCCTGGACTCCTGGTGAATGGTTGGAAATGCATAATGCAGCAGGGCTGAAGCTAAGCAGGGGTAGGTCTGGGCCGTATATAGGTGGGAGAACTGGGAACTCCCCCCTTCCTATGTATGCCATCTAAAGTGACATGATGGAACAAAAGAAGAAGAGGAAGAGATTGGATTTATATCCTGCCCTTCACTCAGTCTCAGAGCGGCTTACAAACTCCTTTCCCTTCCCCTCCCCACAACAGACACCCTGTGAGATGGGTGGGGCTGAGAAAGCTCTGACAGTAACTGCTCTTTTTCAAGAACACCTCTGACAGAACTGTGGTTTGCCCAAGGTCATCCAGCAGCTGCGAGTGGAGGAGTGGGGAATCAAACCTGGTTCTCCCAGATTAGAGTCCGCGCACTTAACCACTACCCACTACAGGGCATAAATATTTATGTCTCACCAGTATCGACCCAGAGTGGCTTACACTGTTCTCCTTTCCTCTGTTTTATCCTCACAGGGTTGTTGTGAGAGATGTTAGGCTGAAGTGTGCAACTAGCCAAGGTTAACCAGCAAGCTTCCATAGCAGAGTGGGGATTTTTAAATATAATTGTGTAATGCAGAAGCAGAATTGGCCTTATTGTTAAGAAACAAATGTGAGAAGATTATAAAATAGTGCATAGAGTGGAGAAAGTGGATAGAGACACTCCCCCCCCCCTAATATTAGAATTGAAGAATAGCAAAATATTTCTTCATATAGAACTTACTACCACAAAATGTAGTAGGCACCAATGTTCCCTCTAAGCTGTGGAGTCCTGTGAGCAAAATTCCACTTTGTGAGCTACTGGCATTAGAATTGTGAGCAAGTGATTTGGCTGCTGCATAAATTAGTTTGCTCTGGAGCCCTCCTTCCTGAGCTAAGACAAAAGCGTGTGAGCCGGAGGCTAAAAAACTGTGAGCCAGCTCACACTAACTCAGCTTAGAGGGAACACTGGTAGGCACTGGTTTAGATGGGTTTATGGAGGAAGAGTAGTCTTTGTATTATTTTATTCTGTATTTTTTATTGTACTTTCTGTCGCTCCCGTGTTTTTTATTCTATCCTTAGCCCTGACTTGGATGACCCAGGCTAGCCTGATCTTGTCAGATCTCGGAAGCTAAGCAGGGTCGGCCTGGGTTAGTACATGTGTGGGAGACCACCAAGGAAGTCCGGGGTTGCTATACACTTCTGTTCATCTCTTGCCTTGAAAATCTCAGGGGACCACCATAAATTGGCTGTGACTCAGTGGCACTTTCCACCTCCACCATCGTGCCCTTGCTCCAAGAAGCTTAGGGAGACAGATATTATACCCCCCCCCTTCCTATCTTCACAACAAACCTGTAATTTGGCTGAGAAAGAGCGACTGGCCAAGGGTCAGCCAGCAAACTTCATGGGAAAATGTGGATTTGTACCCAGGTCTTTCTGGTCTTAATCTAGCACATTAACTAACGCATGTGAGGTCATATGGCTTTTCCCAGTCCAGCATGCAGTATTAGTTTTAGTTTTTGTTTTTAATTCACATATTTGGCAAATGGAACCTCCATATTTAGGGGCAGCATACCACTGAACACCAGATGCTGGTGGGGAGAGTGCAAACAGTGTCGGAGGCCTTTGGGCCTTGTTTGTTTGTGGGCTTCCCAGGGGCATCAGGCTGGCCATTGTTGGAAGCAGAATGCTAAACTGAGTGGGTGGCAATGTACCTATGGCTAGTGAGAATTGCCTCCAGGTGACTAGGCAGGAAAGCGTTTGTACATCTTCAAAAGCACCCCAAATTGTGTATGTAGGCAAAAGAGCAAGTAGGCAACTTTGTGGGCTAGTAAATTTGCTTCTTTTTTGCATTCTGTTTCTGATTCTTCCCTCTCCAACCCTAGGCAGCCAGACAAACTGGTGGTGGTCTGGACCCGAAGAAACCGGCGCATCTGTTCCAAGGTGTGTACCTCACTCACGCAGGTTGGGGGTTATCCACTGGCTAATCTTACAAGGGGGGAAAGTTGCAGGGTTCAACCCTGTGCCAGAGCTACACCTCTGGAAGACCTTGTTTGTGTTTTATCTGTCCCTTTGATCTTTTTTTCAGGCACACAGCTGGCAACCAGGGATCAAGAACCCGTATCGGGGCACAGTGGTATGGATGGTACCTGAAAATGTGGACATCATGGTGACACTCTATCGGGTATGACATCTACATGATGGGATCCAGCCTAGCCTGGGCAGTCTTGTGGGTTCTGACACACAGAAGTTGTTAAGATAAGCCCTTTCAAGATCTGTCAGCAGGTCCTTAGCTAGAATGCGAACATCAGGGGACAGAGGGCCTGTTTTCAGAAATCCATGTTTAGACTTGTGTCTTTCTCTACATTCACAGATAAACACACTTGAGCTATCTGCTGTCCTATGCATGACCCCAGTTCTGCTCCTGCACTAAATCATTTTTTCGCATAAAGCTAGTTATACGAAAGTGTTTTTGTAGCCCTGTGTGTTGTACATTCAATCCCACTGAGTGACCCTTTTCTTTTTCTCTTCCAGGACCCACATGTAGAGGAATATGAAGACAAGGACTGGACCTTTGTGATTGAAAACGTATGTTAAAACAGGCCTGATTCAAGACTTGGTATTAGAGTGGCCAAACCTAGGGCCTGGGAGTCGGGGTTTTCTCCTTGCCTCTGGAAGCAAAGCTGGGACTTAGTGACTTAGAAGAGAAGAAGAAGAGATTGGATTTATACCCCGCCCTTCACTACCCAAAGGTGTCACAGAGCGGCTTACAATCTCCTTTCCCTTCCCCTCCCCACAACAGACACCCTGTGAAGTCGGTGGGGCTGAGAGAGCTCTGACAGAAACTGCTCTTTTCCAAGAACAGCTGTGCCAGAACTATGGCTTGCCCAAGGTCATCCAGCAGGTGCAAGTGGAGGAGTGGGGAATCAAACCCGGTTCTCCCAGATTAGAGTCCGCGCACTTAACCACTACACCAAACTGGCAGGGGTCCCCAACGTGGTGCCCTTACTGCTCTTTCTGCTACTGCTAAAAGTTTTAAGCATAAACGAAGAAAAGAAAATGTCTCTGCTTGACCTGCAACATGCAATGACTGATTAGAGTCAATTGTGGGAGTCTTCTTGATCGTAAAAGTCTGATGCAGTCTCTTGCATTGAGGAAGAGAGTCGAGTAACCAAGGCTCTCTATGGAGGGCTCTGCTGGTTTGCCATGGCAGCACCTGTGGCAGTACTGATAGCAGATTGCCTACAGCAAGCCTTCTCTGGCAGATCTGGGAGAAAGTATATGGGTGAATGCTATCATTCAGATATTTAGGGGCCAGAAAGCTTAGGGCAGGGGTCCCCAACGTGGTGCCCTTGGTCCCCATGGCTCCACTGACACCTTTTCTGGCACCCACCGTGTGTTTTCCAGCTAGCACTTGTCAAGAGACTAGAAGCAACTATATGTCACAATGACCAATTTATTTCTATTTAGTGATTTTTTTTTTTTAAAAAAAACCTCTTGTCTACCTAATTGCAAGCTTGAGCTGCTGAGGTATTATGGACATAGCAATAGTAATTAAAAGGACCCAATATTATGTGAGAGCCGGATGTGGTGTAGTGGTTTAGAGTGTTGAACTAGGATCTGGGAGACCCAGGTTCAGATCTCCAGTCTGTCATGGGAGCTCACTGGGTGATCTTGGGCCGGTCACACACTCTCAGCATAACCAACCTCAGAGGATGGCTGTAAAGCTACAATGGAGGAGAGAAGACAAATATAACCTGTGTTGGGTTCTCCATTGGGAAGAAAGGTGGGGAATAAATGAAGTAAATATTATTTGTTTTGAAGTATGGGAAGTTAGACTCCTGGGTTTGGTGGGAGGTTATTTCAGACCGCTGAACTATAGCAAAAATGGAGGGATTCCAGACGCCTATCATTTGTGCTATGATTTTGTGTTTTTTGAAAATCCAAAGTAGATTTATGCTGCTCCTCCCCTCCGTGACGCATCCCCAAAATGACAGTTAAGCAGAGAGGAGCAGGGTAGCAATTTCAAAAGCAGCATCCATTGAGATTGGAGAAAGGGTGTGTTGTGAGGCTTGGATCTTTCAGAGCGTTGCAGGAAAGAGAAGTTTGAGAGTGGTAAACTGTGGGACAAGGGAAAGGAAGGTTGAGTTTGTGCGTATGGTGTGTATGCTGAAACTGCTGAGTTTGTGTGTATGCTGAAACTCTGATCATTGCCCTCACACCAGGAGTCGAAGGGGCAGCGCAAGGTGCTGGCTTCGGTGGACATAAACCTCAAACGCTTCGCCAGCTCAATTCCTACCCAGGTCGACTTAAATCTGAAGCTGAAGCCACGATCGGTGAAGGTGGTGGCAGCTACACTGCAGCTCACGCTCTCTTGTGTATTCCTGTATGAGGGGAAAGCCACGTGAGTGCTACCTCAGGGGGAGAGTAAGCTTGGTTGCACATGGGCCCTTCTTAAGCAGAGACTGGTTTGGGCTCTGCCAGTTCCTTCTCGCCATATAATAAGATCTCCAGAAAATGAGTGGGTGTCTGTCTCTTAAGACAGCAGGGGAGTCACTGCAGGTTAAAAATTCTGCCATGGCAAGGTGTCCTTCACTCACACATACAAACATACACACTTTGTGCGCATCAAAAGGCAGCTGTCCACCTGTGACACCCTTTCTCCTTTCCTCTTGCCCTTCTGCAGGGACGAGGACATGCAAAGTCTAGCCAGCCTGATGAGTGTAAAACCCTCTGATATTGGCAACTTGGATGACTTACCTGACAGTGAGGAAGAATCAGAGGAAGCCCCAAAGCAGAGCCAGCAGGCAGATGGTGCAGGCCATGGGATGCCTTCTAAAGGTAAGGCCTTCTTCCCATTTCTCAGCTCTGATCCCACAGACTGTAACAGCCATCTCTTGAAAAACTGAAAGAGGGTGATGAGGGGTTCCCTTCCTACGTCTTGATTCCACTGCTTTGACCCATGAGCATTATGCTCACAGAACAAAGACCTACTGATGATTCCTGGGCCAAGAAATGTTTGATTAACCTTGACCGAAGCCAGAGCCTTCTCCACCCTGGCCCCGGCCTGGTGTAACACTCTTCCAGCTGAGACTTGGGCCCTGCGAGACCTGTCACAGTTCCATAGGGCCCGCAAAACAGAGCTGTTCCACCAGGCCTATGGCCGAGGCTCCTGACAGAGAAGAAGAAAACTCTCTGATGGGCTCTCCTTTTGCCCCCTTTCTCTGGCCTTCCCCCAGCATGACTAAATCTTTCCCTGATGTGAAAATTTTTATGTATTTATTGTAATTTGTGTTATCTGCTGCTACAATTAGTAACTTAAGCCTGTAGTTGTTAAGCTGTTTTAATTAATTTATGATGATTGTTGTTATAATATGTTGTTACTTCCCCTGAGGCTAGCAGGGGAGGGTGAGTCAGAAATCAGATTAATAAAATAAAATAAATGATAAAAGCAGAGCTGATCTTTCCTGGCAGCATCTCAAATCAAAGCGTTCAGATTAGTGCGGTTTTCACCAGAGCTGATTTAAAATTGACATGAGGATGAGTTGAGGCCTTGCAAGGAGCTCTAGGTGCTCAACTTTTGCAAGGCTTTATTAGTAAAAGGTTAGTTTGCAGTAGATTTGAGGTTCTACAAATGTGCTTGGCTTCACTCTTGTCATATTTAGTTTGAAATGAAAAGAATATTGCTCAGGATAGAGATGAACCCGGCCCAAGCAGTGCCAGAACCCTAAATGGCCTGAAGATAGACTACATAAAGGATCACCTATCTCAGTATAAGCCCATTTGAATGCTCAGGCCCCATCCAAAGTGCCCCCATCTTTAGAAGTGAAGTAGGTGGCTGTTAGGGATGGCCATTGTGTCGGCTGTGGACTTTTCTCCTCATGGAGACCCGGGTGGTGTCTTCCATCATCTTCTTCTGCAGGTTTTATTTGGACTCCGCCAGTCTCTTCCCCCTTACATACAGCAGAATTTTCCTTTCTCTGGACAGTGATATTTGTGCGTGCTGTGGGCTGTAAGTTTTCTGACTGTTGCTAGGTTTAATTATTTACACTATTTTAAACCCAGGTTTGGGTTTAAAATAGTTTAAATAATTAACAAAACCATGCAGCTGCTGGTGTGACCTTGGGTCAGTCGTAAGTTCTTTCAGAGCTGTTCTCTCAAGGGCAGTTCTCCAGAGAGCTCTCTCAGCCCCACCTACCTCACAGTGTCTGTTGTGGGGAGGGGAAGGGAAAGGGATTGTAAGTCGCTCTGAGACTCCTTCAGGTAGTGAAGGGCAGGATATAAATCCAATCTCTTCCTCTTCTTCTTTTTTGCTAACAACTTCAGTCTCTTTTTATTGCCTGATTTTATTTTGATGGTTGCATTTATTGTGCTTTTGTTTTTTCTTTTTATCAGCTGTTGTCAGGCAGAAAGGAGGCATTGAAGTATCTCAATTTGTCATAAATATGGAAGGTGGTATTTCAAAGTGGGAGGGAGTGCCGTGGAAAAAACAGGAGGTCTCTTTTTCTGTGCTCGTCCCCAAAGTTGCCTGTTTCTTTGGAGCTTCCCTGAGCCAGAGTTCCTCTAGTTTTGTAAAAGATGCTCCTAAATCTTTTCCTTTCCTACCACCCCCCTCTGATTCCCAGGCACACAGTTCTTCCCCTTGGACTTTCCCTGCAGCACCGGTACTAATTTGGGATTGTGAGCACACTCTTGGCTTTTATCATTTGTTTACATGGTCCAAATTCAGTAAGCAGTGCAGTATGCAAAAACTGCAAATATTTGCATCCTTTGTTATTCTGCTGCTGGTCATGGGATGGTTCGGGAGCTGTGCCGGACACTGACGCCTTACCCTGCCAACCCTAGAGAGATCTCCCTCCAATCTTCCTTCTTGCTCTTGAGGTTTCGTTGCGCCTTTGCCACTGTGAGGCCTAGAAGAATGATTTTAAATTATTTACTTAAAGCTGACTTTATCTGGGGGCTTGACCCTATCTGCTGTGTATCAAGTGCTTTGTTGATACTTTACTATTTTACCGTTTCAGAGCACTTCAGCCAGACTCTGTAAAACCCCTCCTTTAGAGCCCCTCAAACATCTCGGGGTGGGTGGGTGTTTAGGCCTTTCTTTGTTCTGCATCAGGAGGTTCTGCATTTTCTCGCGCTGCTGGAAGCGTCATTACTTATGCATGGACTTTTTAAAATGTCTCTATTTTTTCCCCCTTTTTAGGATTAGTAGTCCTCCACTGGCTGTGCTGTTGCATGCCCAATCTTCTGCCTGTAGTCATTCTCCTTCTCTCTCTCTCTCTCTCTTTTTTCTGCCTGTTTCGTCTGTTCAGGATTCCTCCAAAATGTGTTGACGGACTATTTCTCAGGTAGGCTTCCTCATACCCCCTTTCTTGGGTGCACATGGGTGCAAAATCAAATTATACTCAACAGTCCTTTAACCACATGGTCCTTTTCACGATTGGGGGGCAAAAAGGTAGAATCGCACTCCTCTGAGTTTCTATGCATGCTTTCGGGTACAATCAAAACTCTGATTTGGTATATTGAGTCTGACTGCTTTTCCTGGGGTGTTGCTTGCTCTGGATCTTTCATTCATTTATTTATCTCCACCGGTGTACAGTGGCGTTTTACAGAATAATGTAAGCGAATAAGAAGAGTCTCTGCCCTGCGCTGCTTACAGTCTAATCTTAGAGGAGAGCAGAAGATCAAGGAAGAGGCTAAGCAAACAAGGGATGACTGATCAAAAGCTATTCTGAGAACTGTCTTAGCGTTTCAGTTGTGGCTAAAGGGTTAAACTTACACATGATGTTGGAATTCCACAAATGGAACTCCTGACATGTTTGCTTATAGAAAGCAGCTACATCAGGGCTCAAAATGGATTGGGGCTATGCCGCTGGGAAAGGGTGGGTCAGCTCTTTCATTCATTCCATGTTCCACATTGCTTCCCTGGTTGGAAATGGTTGTCCGTCCGTGGTCGTCCCCCCCCCCCCCCCCCCCCCCCCCCCCGCGGCTGTTAGACGCAGAAGAGAGAAAGAAGAGTTCTTTGTAGCATGCAACAAAGTTTTCTCTACCAGACTTTAAATAAATCTGAAGGAGTCAGTTTCAGTTTGGAAAGAATTAACCCTCTCCCCTTTCCCAAGACTCTATCGCCTTCACCCTCTTGGGCGGGCGCACGCATGACGTGTCTGGAGTTCCCGTTATGGAGATACGAGGGATTGAACCTGGGACATATTGAGCAGCATGTGTCATTTGGCTGCTTAAAGGAATTAAACCAAAGGATTTACAGATTAGGTTGTTTTGATTCGAAGGGGGTGGGAGTCAGAATCATGAACGTATTTGGAAGGTTGTTCCGGGCCTAAGAACTGCAAGAGAAAACAGACAGATTCATTTGAAAAGAGCCAGAGTCCGGTAGCACCCTAAAGACTAACAACATTTGTGGCAGGGTATGAGCTCTCGTGAGTCAAAGTTCACTTCTTCAGTATTTATTATTTAAGATTCTTCAGTATTTATTAGTCTTTAAGGTGCTACTGGACTCTTGCTCTTTTCTACTGCTACGGACATACTAACACAGCTACCCATCTTGATCTAGATTTATTTGAGATTTTGGGCAGGCAGCAGATAAGTTCACCCTCTCTCTCTCTCTCTTTTTCTTTCCTCCCTGCACTTCATTTCTCCCATCCCCTTTACACAGACACTTCGCGGGATTTGAACACCCTGCCAGAGGAAGAGGAGGATGCCTCAGCCCAGGGCACAAGCCAAGTAGCCGCAGCAAATTCCGCCTCTTCCAGGGCTCTCAGGAAGGAAGGTGCGTGCTGAGGTAGCATCCCCAGTTCTGCAGGGGAGCTGGCTAGGCAGAGGGATGGCCTTTTGGGGTTGGAGCAAGAGGAGGTGAGGAGACAGGATCCCTGGATGTGCCCTTGTTGCCTAGTGATGCAGAAGAGTTGTGTAAGAAGATAACAGTCAGTGGTGGAAAGGGCTAAAATGCTGACACGTGAAGCTGCCTTAACCTGAGGTCACAATATCCAAGGATTATGGTGTGGATGATTAGACAAAATAACTGGAGCACTGTATATAATACTATATACTGTGTTTATGATATACTATTATAATAAAGACTGTTTAAACTTCAAGAGTTGGTTTGTTGTTTACATGCAATAATACCCCATTAACAATGCATGCATTCTAATAATACAATGCCACAATTGCAAAACTCATGATTCAAACAGAATATACAAAAGGGAAATAATTTTAATACAAGCTTAAAGTAAGGGTATTTCTTAAGTCATATATAAAAACTCAAAAGATGCTAAAATGAGCTGAAGGTTGGCAAAGAACTCTAAAGAACGCTGAGACAAACTGAAACTTGAAAGGTTACGGAGACCAGTAAAAAATCCCATTTTACAAATTCTTCCTCAGGTCTTACAGCAACAGAGATCTTAAATCTAATAGTGGAAATCTATTGAATTACTGAACTATTGAAATAATGTTACTTTAAGCTTGTATTTGAATTATTTCCCTTTTGTATATTCTGTTTGAATCATGAGTTTTGCAATTGTGGCATTTTATTGTTAGAATATATGCATTGTTAATGGCATATTATTGCATGTAAACAACAAACCATCTTAACTCTTGAAGTTTAAATAGTTTTTGTTGTAATAGTATCTCATAAACATAGTATATAGTATTATACATGGTGCTTCAGTTATTTAACCTGAGGTCAGGCAGTTGGTCCATCTAAGTCCCAAAACTGTTTACTCTAATTGGCAGTAGCTCTTTGGGGTCTTGAGCAACAAAACGTCTTTCTGAGTGAACACCATAGCCACCACCTCCTATAGGAGGTGGTGCCATAGCCCAAGATGGAGATAACAGGGACTGAGCCTGAGACCCTCTGCTTGCAAAGCAAGGGCTCTGCTACGGAGGTGCAGGCTCAGCCTGGAATCTGGAGGATGATGTACAGCTAGGATTGCCAACCTCCAGGTGGGGCCTGGAGCAATGCTCCCCCTAAGCTGTGGAGTCTTGTGAGCAAAAATTCTACTTTGTGAGCTACTGGCATTAAAGTTGTGAGCAAGCAATTTGGCTACTGCATAAATTAGTATGCTCTGGAGCCGTCCTTCCTGAGCTAAGACAAAAATGTGTGAACTGGAGGCTAAAAAACTGTGAGCTAGCTCACACTAACTCAATTTAGAGGGAACACTGACCTGGAGATCTCCTGGGATTACAACTGATATCCAGACTAGAGAAATGAGCTTCCCTGGAGAAAATAGCTGCTTTGGAGGGTAGATTCTGTGGCATTATACCGTGCTGAGGTCCCTCCTCTCCCCAAACTCACCATCCCCAGGCTCGACCCTCCAGGGATTTCCCAGCCCAGAGTTGGCAACCCAATGTACAGCACAGCAGGGAATCAGTTGAATGGGGTGGGTTGGTACTAGGTGTTTCATCTGTAATGATGGGGGAGACACATGAATTTCTGAGAGTTCTGTGGAACTGACTGAAATGGATAGTAGGCAGAGAGGCTAGCAAGGATTCAAAGTTCAAGTCACACTGATGGTTGTAACCAGGTGGGCAGCCATGTTGGTGTGAAGCCCGAGTCCAGCAGCACCTTTAAGACCAGCAAAGTTTTATTCAAGGCATGAGGTTTCGTGCACACGCACATTTCCTCAAATACATTGAAAGGGAAGGGAATAGTTCATTGATCTATGAAGAGAGTGAACAGCAAACCAGTACCCAACACAATGGTGATATTTTAACAGATGCAAAAATTAAACAGGAATAAGAAGTTTACATGCTCAACATTTGTTTGGATTCAGTTACGGGGAAAACACAATAAATATGTCAAAATGGGAGACTGATTGTGTAAAAGTATCCTCCTTAATTGTGGAGTGCTAAGAACAATCAACCAAGACCATGCCTCCACGCTCCACTCCTCTCCTCCCAAGCATGGAGGTAATTGACAGCATCCTTTTCTTGGTAGAACAAAGAATGGTTGTGCAGTGTATATCTTCTCTGTCACCAGATCAGAGAAATAGATTCCAATATTCATTGCATTGTATTACAATCACTATTCCAATATACTATTCCTTCTTGGTGAGGATACATAGGTAAGGACTGAATGATTACAGCATATGTAGTGAGATGAGAAACCGATATCCTTGTTAAGCCCTGGAGAGGTTTTTGTTCTGAGTGTTGTACTACTTTGAAATGCAGCAATTTCCATTTGTAGTCTATTCCTGAAGTTCCTTTGCAGTAAAACAGCTACTTCGAAGTCACCCATTGAATGTCCTGGAAGGTTGAAGTGTTCTCCTACAGGTTTCTCAGTCTTGTGATTCTTGATGTCAGATTTGTGTCCATTTATCCTTTGGCATAGGGTTTGACCTGTTTTCCCTATGTAGGGAACCAGAGGGCATTGTTGACATCTAATGGCATATACAGTGTTAGAAGATGAGTATGTGAATGGGCCTGAGATGGTGTAGTTGATGTTGTTAGGTCCAGTAACTGGGTTGTCTGGGTGTATGTGGCAGCAAAGTTGGCATCTGGGTTTATTGCAAGCTCTGGTACCAGCTCTGGTTAGATGTTGCATTATTGTGGGTGACGAGAAGTTTGAGATTGGGGGCAAGGCAAGGTTTGCCCCCCAGTACTTGTGGAAGAGAATTGTCCTTGTCCAGTAGAGGTTGTAAGTCGCTGATGATGCGTTGAACTGTTTTGAGTTGAGAGGAGCTGGAAGGATCCTTTAAAGGAACCTTTACATTCCTTCTTGGCCCAGGGCTAACATAACCGAAGGACCATATCTCCCCAGTATGCCAACTACGGAGTCTTCTGGTTGCCACCTTCTAGTTATTCCCCTGCTTAATGTGGTCTCACATTAGAGTCTGTTCAGTTCCTGTATTGGTTCCCGCCTTGTGGAACATTCTGCCTGAGGAGATGAGGAGTTCTTTCAAGCTTTTTAGGAAAGCCGTTTTATTTCTGAAGGGTTTAAGCCTCAGGCCTTTTCTTGGTGGGAGGGAGGGGTTTTTAATTTTTGGAACTGTCCGCTGCATTGGGCCCCAAGGCAGAAGCAGGATGTAAATATTTCAAAGATGGATGGAGGACAGACATGGTTGAGGGTAGTGTAGTGTTGAATTGGGATTCGGGGGATAACAAATTCAGATCTTCACTCTGGCATGATGCTCACTGAGTGACCCTGGGCCAGCAACACTCTTTACTTGAGGATAAAATGGGGACACAACTCTGAACTCTTTGGGGGAAGGGCAAAGTAAAAACATCCTAGACTACCTGGGTTGCTTTCATCATTATAGTTTATAGGCCCTTTCCCAAAATGGGCCCCCCGATTTTGCTATGTTGTAAATCCTGACAGCCACTGCCAATAGATTACCTCCATTTTTTCCCCCTGGTAGGCTCTTTGGTTTAAAGAGCTACATGGCGGGGAGGAACTGAATCTACTTCCATCAGTTCACTCCCATGCAGGGAAAGCTGCATCTGTTGAATTTCTGACTATCGCTCTGCCATTCAAAGGCACATAAATCCATCCAGAAAAAAAGGAGGCAATGCTAGGAGAAAAAAGGAGGCCATACAGCCAACAACTGAGAAACAGCAGTATCTGTTTTGACGTCAGACGGTGCTGATAATCCCTGAGCATGTGTAGAGTGCCAACCAGAATCCTTTTCTTTGTAAAATTTCCCCCTTTTCTATTATGAAAATTCTGGACTATAATTTCCAAATTATTAAGCAGTATGAAAGTATTAGCACTATTTTCTTTCTGTTTGTACGCAGGCAGTAGTTTCAGGATGGACAAAAGGAATACTGCTTTACTCAGCGGGTGATTGAAATGTGGAGTTTGCTGCTAGAGGATGTTGTGATAGCCACAGGCGTAGGTGGCTTTAAAAAGGAATTAAGAGTCCTGGAGGATAGATCTATTAGTGGCTGCTAGCTATGATGACTAAAGGGAACCTCCACATTCAGATGCAATAAATCTCCGAATCCCAGTGCCAGGAGGCAACATCAGGCGAAGGTCTTGGCCTCTATGGCCTGTTGTTGGCCCTCCAGAGGAACTGATTGGCTGCTGTGTGAGACAGGATGCTGGACTAGATGAACCACTAGTCTGATCCAGCAGGGCTCTTCTTGTGTTCTTATCCATGAGATCACTGAAGACCAAAACTTCAGAAGTGTGCTTGCACACGAAAGCTTATGCCTTGAATAAAACTTTGTCAGTCTTAGAGGTGCCACTGGTCTCAGACTTTGTTCTGCGGCTTCAGACCAACACGGCTGCCTACCTGAAGACCAAATCATTACTCTATCTCATTTTAAAACACTTCTGGCTTTCAGAACTCCAATGTATTCACAGCCAAAGTGGTTTCAAGTCATGAAAGCACAGATGCGCGTGCACAGCTTCCATTTTAATGCATGCCCTGTGTGAGTGTGAAAAGAAACTGTGGAATTGCATTGTCAAGGAATTACCAAGGATTATGTGTGTTTGTAAAGGTACTTTTGTAGCAATCGAAAGAAAGAATACACTTCCATTTTCGTCAGAAAAGACAGACATACTGCTAAAAATAGCAAGTCACACTGTCGAGATATAAAAAACTGGCTAGTATGTTGGACTGAAGAGGCCAGCCCCGAAGCTTGTGCATGTCATCCTTAACCTGCCTCATAGGATTCTTGTGAGGACACTTGTGAGGATACATGAGCACAACCCTAAGCTTTTGAAGGAAGGGAAGGATAAAAATATAATAGCCAAATAACTATCAGGATATGATGTGATGGGAAATGCCTAATTTGTGCCAAAGTTCAGCTCCCATTTTTTTTAAGCATTGAGGCTGAGCCTTGTAATATATAAATGCCTCTGGGCATTTGCAAAGTGGCTTCTATCCTCTTGCCTCAGCCTGTTCCCATACATTTAAGCACATTTTTTTTAGGAAACAAATCTCATTGCCCCTAGCAAAAAGTTTTCGATTGAGTTTTCTAAGTATTGACCGCTGGAGATTCAGAACAGATGGAGCCACCTCCCAGTGGCTGTGATACAGCAGTCCCTGCTCCTCTCACCCCATTTCTCTGGAACGAAAAATGAAGGAAAAACACTTTGCACGGGTATCATTCCTGCACCAACTTCTTAAAACCACACCTTGTAGTTTATCGTCTCTGTGCATACATAATAACCGTTCCTGTTTGGGGCTTCCCTTATTATATCAGGGTTTTTGTCTTTTAACATCTTACTGCAAAACAAAATTATTCTTCAAGCTCTGCAAACCCACATCGCACTTGCAGATTTTTTTTTTCAAAACCGCAACTTTCTTTTTGATTATTTCGGTAGATCTCCAATTCCTCCTCGCAGATGCTATGAATGGGCACTGAGGGTGAAACTCCCCATTAGGTGTAGTTCTGTAATTCTTTTCTTAGGATCATTTGTTTGCCTTTTATGCAACATGGCCACCGATTTGAAGTGGAAAACCTATGTGGGTGGAGAGGGGCTTATTAACCCTCCCCAGCACTTTCCCCCCTCCACTGAAAATCACCTCCTCCCTTAGGTTGTTTTTATCTGAGCTGGGTTATAAAAGCAGCGGGGGGGGGGGAAGAGTATTTTTCAGTGGGGGGAAAACAGTGTGAAGGGAAAGGGTTAAGAAGCCCCTTTCTCTTTTTCTTCCCCTTACTAGTTTTCTACTTCAAATTGTAACTTTAGAAGCTTCATTATATAAACAGGGAAAATACAACTCACAGAACAACTGAACACATCACAGTGGAAGACTCCACTACAGTTTGAACCGTGGACACCAGGTTCCAGCAATAAGGATCAATTCTAACCTATGTGTGCCGATCCTGTTTGGCGAGAACCTGGCATGGGGTGCCCGTCTTCTCTCTCTGCCTATGCTAGCATTGCCTATTTGCCTCTATCTTGTAAATTTCCTTAAAAGCTTTGTTAAAAGGCTTACTGCCCTCTTAAGGGGAACCCCCCTCCCTGCCACTCCCTTGATCCTCTTTTGGTGCCTAGCTACTGGGGAGCCGTTTATGGTATTGATATCCTAGAGCGGTCAGAAAAGTTAATGTGTGGCATGGCCCTAGAAAGATCCTTTTGCAGCCATTCTAGGAGACTGTAATCATAGACTCTTCTCTGGCCTGGGAACTAGAGAGGTAGGGTGTGATGAGGGTAGAACTCGGCAATTTCCAAAATCTACGAAGGACACTTCAACCTCCTTCATGGTAGGGCTGATTCTCCATGAATAGTATGTGACTTGTGAATATGACAAACAGGGTGTTGGGCAAATCTGTATCACTCAGGTCCTTTAATCGGAGAGGCTGAGTGTACAAAGAGGTAAACCCAGGTTGACAGTTCTCTCCCAACTACTGATTATGCTTTCCCTGGGGATGTACCTGAGCGCTATGGAGAGGTGTTTCAGCACTTCCCAAGTGTACAGAGTTCTGCTCCTTCCACATGTTCTGCTCTTCCCAGGTGCACACAGCCCTGATTTGGATGAGAACCACAGCGTACAGAAGGAAGTTGCTTAGTCCTCCCCACTGAGAGTGGTTAAGAGCAGTGGACTAGTATCTGGGCGACCTGAGTTTGTATGCCTACTTGTGCTGCCGAAGCTCGCTGGATGATATTGGGCTAGTCCCACTCTCTCAGCCTAACCTCCCCCATAGGGTTGTTGTGAGGATAAAATGGAGGAGAATGATGTAAGCTGCTTTGGGTCCTATCAGGACCCAGTATGCCCCTGCTCCCGTTCTCAGGCGCTGAAACCACAGCCACCTAAGACTCTTAGAAGTCATACAGGGCTCTGGTTTGTTTGAGGCCTTTCAGCCTCAGTGTTTGTTTCTGAGGGCATTCAGCAAGTACTCTTGACACAAAGAGAAAAATATATTTGGGTTTATTTAACCATTCAAATTATAAAGACTGTATGTTAAGCAAAAATCACTCTTTAAGCACAGCAGTGGCAAGAAGAAAAAGAACAATTAAGACTAAACTATTTCTGACTAGAGGCAAACTTTCTAAAACATTAAAAGCTTGCTTCTCTGATGTAGCTCCATAACATGATGTTCTTACTGACAGGCTCAATCAAAGCAGGGAAGCAGCCATCTCTTCCCACATGCTGATGGCATAATAATAATCAGTGAGAACAAGCCATATTTTCAGGTGTGCTTGCAGCAGCCCGTCAGCCTCATTAGCTAATTGGCGCGACTAGCATACGAATATTGGGGGGGGGGGCAGGTGGCTCAGAGCTGCTTACAAACTCATTTCCCTTCCCCTCCCCACAACAGACACCCTGTGAGGTGGGTGGGACTGAGAGAGCTCTTGAGAGAACTGCTCCTTCAAGGACAGCTCTGAGAGAACTATGGCTTGCCCAAGGTCATCCAGCAGCTGCAAGTGGAGAAGTGGGGAATCAAACCTGGTTCTCCCAGGTTAGAGTCCACGCACTTAACCACTACACCAAACTGGCTCCCAAGGATGGTTCTCTTGGACTCCAAAGCCCGCAGGTGGATATGATCAAAAAGCAAGCATGATGCTTTGGATAGCACTTGAATGAGATTTCAAGAGATAGCCATCTTGGTTTTTATGCGAGGAGTATTGAATATATTTTTTTATGATTATAACTGGTTTTAAAAATCTTAATTGTATGTATTGTTTTATGTTATGTTATGACTTGGTAATATGACTTGTAAGCCGCCCTGAGCCTACGGGGAGGGCGGGATAGAAATATAAATAATAAATAAATAAATAAATAAATAAATATAGCAGGCCAAACAAGGGACTTACAGCCTAAACCAAACCAGTGAAACCAAACAACATATAGGCCTAAATGGCATCTCTTCCTTACAGGTCCCCATTGGGGATGAAGGCAGGGTGCAAATGAATTAAATTTTAAAAATCCCCCTGTGCCATTTTCCAGAAACCAGAAACAGTCCAGAGGGGCATGTAATTAGGGTCTCAGTGATCCAAAAAGACAGGAATCGAAATTGTATGCCATAGTAATCCAAAAACTTAACAAAGAAAAATGGAATCCAGATAGCAAACCACCAGCACCTGTCTGCCTAGCACAGCCATTTCTTAAAATGAGAGTGGCGATTCATAATTGGCTGAATACTGTCCCTTGGGCCAGTTTATGTGCCCACATTGCCCACTGGCAGACCCTACCCCGCCCTACCCTTGAGTTAGGCAGTACCAGTATAATGCCCATCCATTTCCCCTGTGGACCTTTGGTCAGCCACCTAACCTCCGGGATTTTGATCCAGGACTGTAAATTTCATTTAAAAACACTAAAGAATTTTGTCATTTTAAACATTCGTTCGAAACAGTCTCAGATCCAGGGAGAGGGGATCAACTCCGCAGACTCCCTCATTTTTCACTGGGCTGTCAATAACAGACTCACCCACTCATCGCTGTCTAAACATTTACAGAAATATACAAATGGGGGGGGGAAATCCTTATAATTATTTCAACGTTGAATGATTACCGTCCCTTATTTGGTCTCGTCATTGCAGCCGTCACCGAAATCCCTAGGAAAGCAGCAGATCCCCTCCCTGGCAGCACCTCCCAGCCGGACCCCCCTCGCCCTGTGACAGAGTCGGCCCCCACCATCTCCACGGCAGCACCTCGAGCAGTAAGTGATGTGGAGTATGCTGGGACTGTGGGATATGGAGGGGCAAGCGGCATATGCCCAAGAGGAGCGACTAGCAACCAGAGGGGGCCAGGCGCCCAGAACCGGGGGACGGGCACTTCCACAGAACCGGCACGGGCGTGGGCCGAAGAGGAGAAGGAAGAGAAGGGGTCTGCGTGGTCACCAGGACGTCCAGCGTTGCTGAGCACCACTGAAGTTAGGTGAGTCCCTCTCTTGGGAGGGAGGCAGGGGTTGGACACCCATGTCCCTCTTCTGGAGCTCAGGGAAGGGGGGGGATCTGCCTGGCTAATAGTAGGAAACCAGAAGACTGGGCTGTTCTCCCCTTAACAAGGGAGCATCGGAGCCTCCTGGCTATCTGTCCTCTGCGTGATCCTGCAAGGAAGATGCCTCTATTTTGGGTGGCCCTAAATGTTACCCAGCACTAAAGAGCGAGCGAGACCGACAACAGCTGCTACTTTTGTTTCTCCTTTTTCAGAGGGGGAAGGGTGCTAGATATAGTTTCTCTCCCTCCCACCCTGAGACCGGGAAGAAGCAAGGCTGTTCCACCCACAAGGAGAAAAGAGAAGTTTGCTCTTCAGAGCAATGGGAAGTGAGAGGCCTCCGGGGGTAGCGGGTGGGGAAGAATTCTACTCTAGCAGGATACAGCTCTGCCCCGTTGCATGAACATACCAAGCCCTGGACTTTAAAACGAGCCCCCATCAGTTTCCTTTTGGGAGGACCAGTAAATGGTTCTCCCACTAACTGGCTGCATTCAAGGTTAGGGAAGAAGCTCCCCTTCCTCCCAGGGATTCTGTGAGTTTCCCCTTCCCCTGGAGCCATGTGACTTGGCTCGCTTGCTGGAGCTTTCTACAGTCACCTCCTCCTCGAGTGCCTTTCTTCAGGTGCTCTTGCGTGTAGCCTGTCTGAGTCATGCAAGGTGTTCTTTGGGTGGGAGCTGGTGGATGGTCCAGCTCTTTAGCAGCATTGGGGAGGGCGTGGAAGTAGCTGCCCTTTTGACACCACCCCCTACTGCTGTGAATCTAAGTGAAGGACTGCAGGGGACAAGATGCATTTTAAAAGGAGGTCCAACCTGTAAGAACGAAATCATACCAGTCATTAGGAAGAGTTGTGGGCCATCGTGTAAGATGGGAGGAGGGCTGCCCTACTGCATGTGGCCCAAGGGGTTGGCACTGATGCAGCAAGGTGAACTAAGAACAGAGTTGCCAACCTCCGGGTGAGGTCTGGAGATCCTCCCACTGTTGCAGTTGGTAGCTGGACGACAGAGTTCCATTCCCTTGGAGTAAATGGCTGCTTTGAAGAGTGGACTCCATGGCATTCTACCCTACTACTGAGGTCCCCCCCCCCAAGCTCCACCCCCCCCCTAAATCTCCAGGTATTTCCCCATCCAGAGCCGGCAACTCTGTGAGGCTGTGCCCAGAAATACTTCATAACGATGCAAGGAATGCCAGGGCACAAGTCTCGGGATAGCCTGGGACTGGCCCCGGGTTTGTGTCCTCTTTGAAGACCTCTGATTCCTGGGTGGTGGTGGCACTTGCCTTCTTGGGGGGGGGGGGGTGTCATGCTTTTGGAGGGAAGGAGTCTGTTCTACCCTGCAGGTGTGTTCCGAATCAAGGCACTCTCCCGTTTTCCCACCACACCTCTCGAACTGTCCCATCCATCTCATTTCTTGAGGCCGATTGCTAGTTATCAAGCCTCTTCTCTGTCCTTCCTGTTTAGGGAAGTGCCATGGTTCAGTGGTAGAGTATCTGGTTGGTATGCAGAAGGTCCCAGGTTCAATCCCCGGCATCTCCAATTAAAAGGGATCAGGTAGGAGGTGGTGTGAAAGACCTCGTCCTGAGACCCGGGAGAGCTGCTGCCCGTCTGAGTAGACAACATTGACCTTGATGGACCAAGAATCTGATTCAGTATAAAGCAGCTTCAGTTGTGGCCATATTCAAAACCACTGGAGTTTTAACACTTGCACAGGTCTTCCTCCACTTACAAACAATCAGAGATGTCTTCCTGGGAGGTAACTCGGCTGCAGAGTAATCTGGGAACAGAGGAGGTTGTGTGCATTTCTGAACACTTGCCCTGGGAACTTTTTTCTCAAGGGTGCAAAGTGGAACAGAGCAGAATAGGAGAAACTTTCTTGCTGGGTACAATTCTAGAGGGGTAATGGCTTAGAACAAGGGGAGATGTGCGTTAAGGGCTCTGTTCTGTGGGATATTTAGTCAGAGGAAGGTGGATCGTCCTTTTGGGACCACCCTCAAAACTTATGCAACCTCTTCCTCCCCCCCAAATCTCTCTCTCTCTCACCTCCAGGCCTACTGATGTCTGGAAACCTCGGGAGCAGAACCCCGTATCTGCACCACCGAGGAAGAAGAGTCCTTCCAAGGGACCCGCCAGACCCACAGATGTGTCCACATTGCATTCATCTGCACCTGAGGCACCCCCTGTGAGGAAACGCCGGCTGGAAAAGACGCCGGTACCTCCAGGGAATCCCCGGGCTGTGCTGGAGATGGCCACACCCTCAGAGAATGATTCTCACCCCGCGACGCCAGTTGCCCTGGAGGGCCCAGCATTGGAGAAACCATCCTGCGGGAGCTCTGTGGAAGTGCCTGTCTCTCAGCCACAGCCCCACGGTTCTGTGGTCATGTATTTTGTGGAGGAAACAGGCCTGGCTGAACAGAGGCCTGTCATTGTCACTAGCGAAGCAGGATCAGGAGGGTCTTCAGACGCGGCGTTCCTGGCCTTGTCTCCTGTCATGGGGCTGCCCCCCGTGGCGCAAGATTTCCGAGAGTCCCCCAGCCATGAGGCCCAGAGTTCAGTGGGAGATGGGTCAGTGTCAGAGGCCGCTCCCGCCTCGATAAGTTCAAGCGGCCTGGCGGAAGCGATGGAAACGGAGTGCGGGGGAGGATGTGGAGAGGTGGGGCAGCTGCCAGGGCTGCCAGTAGTGCCCCCAGCTGAGCCAGCAGGGCGTGAGAAGGAAGAGGAACAGCCCGTAGTTGAAGAGGAGCTTCCGGACAGTAAGCCTGTGATGGGAGAACCGTCCCTTTGGAGGCTTCTGGCTGAACCAGAGAAGGGCCAGCTTGAAGCTGAGGTCAGCTTGGAAGACAGGGGTACCGCTTCTGGAGGGGAAACTGACTCAGCCCCTCCTCCAGAAGCCTCTCCTCAGATGGAGTCGCGTGAGATAGGGGGAGGGTCAGATGCAGAGAATTGTCTAGTCTCTGGGATGTCGAAAACCCCATTTTGGCCAAGTGATCTTTCCCCAGAAGGTCTGGTGGAGGAGGAAGGGCCGGAGGTGCAACTGGAGGTTGAAAAGGACTTTGCAGATGGCAAACTCCAAACCTCCGCAGACTCACTGCCTCCTGGGGAGAGGTGCCAGGAAGAGGCTGCAGGAGCGGGCTGGGCAGAGGCCCCCACACCTCCCCTGGCTGATCCAGAGGTTTGTAGGGGAAAGGAAGAGGAGACAACAGCCGCTGAACACAGTCTCCGGACTCTGTTTGAGGCCCCGAAGGCTCCCGCCGAAGTGGAGAAAGGAGAGCTTGGTGGTGGGAGCGACGTGGGCGAGAGCATGCCTTCTGGAGATGCCACGCAGCAGGTGGCAGGAAAGGAACTTCCAGGAGCGCAACGTGTCGCACCAGACAAAGAAGAGGAGCAGGGCGAAGGGGAAGATGGTGGATGGAAATTTCCAGATGACCCCCTGGAGACCACGCTGGCAAAGCCACACAGACCAGACCAAGAAGCTTTGAATACGGATTTCTCAAGGAGCAGCACCCCTGGTCAGGAAGGGGCTGGGATTGGCCACGAGGGAGTGAAAAGCCAGGATCTGCCTGATGGCGGAAGTCAGAAAGGAGAAAGGAAAGCCAGCACAGAAGGGTCTTGTGCGGAGCAGAGTTTGCCGGCGAGGAGCAGTGAGGGAGCGGAGGTCTTGGCCAGGGCACTCCCCTCACCGCTTCCTCTCCTCCCACCTCAGGATACCACCTTGCCCCTCCCAGTTCCCCGGGCCCTCAAGGAGAAGCGTGCCAAACCCATCCACGAGCCTCTGGTGCCCACCCCCATGTCCTGTGGCTCAACAACGGATTTCAGAGGTCAAGGGGAGGCCCAGGTACAGGCGGCCGTGCCCACTCCCTCCTCGTCTTTGAAAGCCACCTTTATGTGTCCGGCTTATTCTGATTGGATATGGGGAAGGGGGCGTTGCTCCTAATTTGTGTGGGGAGGATCGGTTGCTGTGGCAACCTGTGCCATTTTGGGGCCTGAGAGTTTCTTTGCTTTAAACTGGTTAAACTGTGGAGGGGTGAGCTTTGAACTCTTTTAGCTGAGGTGGGAGAGGGGAATGTAAAGCTGAGGGGAGAAAATTCCATCTGGGATGGAGAACAGCCAGCCCTGGACTGTACATCTTGGGATATGGGAATGGGATCCTAGGACGAGGGGTGGACTTTTCGGTCTGGCTAGCCTTTGCCCTGTACAGGGCAAGTTCAGGGATCTTAGAATATGTGCATGAACAGACACACACACACACACACAGCTGTTCTTCAAGGTCTGTGCTTTCTGCAGAAGCTGTGGTCCTGCATGAGTGCATTTTTTCACTTTCTGGTATGGCATTTGGCGTCCACTCATTTTCTGAAGAAGTGAGGGGCTAGACTCTACGATACTGCCTGGAAGTGCTTTGTCATCTCCTTCCTTGCCAGAAATGATTCAGAAATTATCTGGGGAAAAATAAGCAGCAGTACAGTTCTGCTGTGTAAGCAGAATGCAGCACAAAGATGCAAAAGTGCTCCCCGTTTATCGTTGAATATTCCTGGCCACAGAATTTGCAGAGCCGTACTGATTCCCACATTCATGGGCATGTTATTTGAAGGGGTTCTCCTACCCCCTGCTGTAAGGTCTGCAGTATGGAATTTGTGCTGGAGAGTGTCATCACTATGGTGGCCCAGCAGGGACATGCCTGCATGTCTCCCTACCACCCCTGCCTGTGGCCATGACCATTTGTCCCCCCATCCTTTAGGTTGACTCCCCCTGCAGCCCGACGACGCTCGTGAGTTCCAGCCAGTCCTTGCTGGAATGGTGTCAGGAGGTGACGGCCGGCTACAGGGGCATCCGCGTCACCAACTTCACCACATCTTGGCGCAACGGCCTGGCTTTCTGCGCCATCCTACATCACTTCCACCCCAAGAAGATGTGAGTTGGGTAGCCAGTTCTTGCTGGAATGGGACTGAGGGCTTATTGTCAGAGCATAACGCGCAGAGAAGCTCTAGCTTTTGATGGGATCCTGCATTGCTCCTGCTGTTGATCAGGGACAGAGCAGCCATGTGCAAGGCAGAAAGGGCAGGCATGCTGAGATCTTATAAGTGGGGCTCTCAATCAATATGAATAATTTCAGTTGGACTAACTGCCTCCCTTTGAATCCGCGCATGACATGGAAATTAAACTTGCATATTCCCAAAAGCTTCCCCATCAGAATGAGCCATATTTGATTCTGTATGTTGCAGTAACACACTGGAACCAAAGTAGTCTCCAGAAAATAAGCAAGTGTGCCTTTTTCACTCGCAACTTTGCTGATATAAATTATCCCCCACCAATCCAGCAGCAGAAGCTTTAGCTGATTAATCTACATGTTAATTTATTATTTATTTATTTATTATTTACATTTCTATCCCGCCCTCCCCGGAGGCTCAGGACGGCTTACAAGGCATATCGCCGAATAAAACAATAGAACAGTACAAAATATTAAAAATACATCACAGTTAATGAACAGTTTTGGTGCTCCTCTGAACCCCTTCCAAGTTAAGATTCCTAAAAGCAAGTTGGCCGTCCCCTAAAACGTCCCATTCTCACCCAAGGTGCCCGCATCATGATGGCCATATACAGAAATCATGTGGCGTTGGTGGTACAATGGTGGTGGCGGCTCCTATTCTAAAGCCTGGCGGAAGAGCTCCGTCTTGCAGGCTCTGCGGAACTGTGCTAGGTCCCGCAGAGCCCTGATCTCCTCTGGGAGCTCATTCCACCAGATAGGAGCCGCCACTGAAAACGCCCTATTCCTGGTCATGACAGATTTGATGGACCGGGGACCTGGCACGTCCAGTAGATTTTGATTCCCCGACCGAAGTGCTCTTGGGGGAACATGTGGGGAAAGGCGGTCCCTTAAGTAGGCTGGATAATCTGATAGTAGGTCTCTGAGGCCTGGTCTGGTGGCTGGAGCAATAACAGAAAGGGAAGAAGGGGCTTGAGAGAGTAAGATGAGTTTTCCGGGGGGCTAGGTGTTGGGAACAGAAAGGGTCGGCTTGGTGAGTACAAGGTGATCTGTGAAAGAGGAAGAACAAATTTAGAGCCCAGTGGCACCTTTAAGACCAACAAAGGTTTATTCAGAGTTACGAGCTTTCGTGTGCATGCACATATTTTCAAAGCATTTGAAAAAGTGTGCCTTGCACACAAAAGCTCATACCTTGGATAAACCTTTGTTGGTCTTAAAGGTGCCACCAGATTCTAAATTTGTTCTACTGCTTCAGACCAACACGGCCGCCCCACCTGTGAAAGAGTTAGTTGAGGAGAGAGAGAAAGAGAGAGAGCACACATGGTGGGTGGTTACTGCAAGGTTACAAATAGCAGGAGGGAAGGAACAGATAATGGGAGAAAGAGGCTGAGGGGGTGCTACAATGAATTTGAACACTGCGTGTGTGTGTGTGTGAGAGAGAGAGGAGTCAGGAGATTTCTGAAGTGATGGAATGTTAGAGGGGAAGGGTTTGGGGCCGCCAATGGCCACTGATCGCGTTTATGTTTCCCTCCCCTCTTCAGCCAGTATGATGCCCTGGACCCGCTGGATATCAGACAGAACAACAAACTGGTGAGTTGGTAGCTCCAGCCTCTGTGGGGTGGGCGAAGAATGAAGGCCACCTAGCGACACTGTGGATATCAGGAGGGTGTGGAGAAGGGAGCCTTGTATCCTTTGCTCTGCCAAGGACTCTCTGGCTGGCCTTGGGCAAGCCACCGTCAGCCTCACCCACTTCTTGGGACTGTTCTGAGGTAAAGAGAATAAAGAGGTGGTGTGGTTCATGAGGGTGGGGCCTGGACGTGAGAGACCTCTGTCACACTTTGCTCTCTTCTCTCAGCTTCTGTATTGTTACCGAAATGAAAAGATGCTATGGAGGTGTAGAGGGTCGTAATTTTTTTAAAAAAGTTTCCTTATGTATAAGTAAACATCTCTCTCTCCCTTTCTCTCCTTCTGCCATCAGGCCTTTGATGGTTTTGCCTCCCTGGGGATCTCCCGGGTGATGGACCCTGCCGACATGGTTTTCCTGACAGTGCCGGATCGGCTGATTGTCATGACATACCTGTGCCAAATCAGGGCTTTTTTCACCGGGCAAGAACTGAACGTGGTGCAGCTCGCTGACCACAGCAACCAGACCACCTACAAGGTGGGTAAATTTGACACAGACTCCTCTGGCTTTGTTGATCCTGCCATATTTTATTCTCAGTCTCTTCAAGCTGCCGCTTCTCAGCCAGAGGCTGCTGGGAGCCCAGATGTCCAGGACTCTGGCACTGTGACGGGGGACAATAAAAAAACAGAGGTGGAGGCCCCTCCCCCAAAACATGCTGCGGATGCAGAAAGCACAGATGTTGCAGAGGGCTTTGGGAATGGAGCCATAATGGAGGACTTGAATGTGGAAGCTGGTGATGCAGAACCTCTGATGATTGCACAGCTGGAGCAGGCATCTGAACTTGTGAATGCTGCAAAGGATGATGGGAAGGCAGTTGTAAATGGCACCACTGGCAAAACAGTTGAAGAACTGCAGTTGGAGCCCCTGGGGTCTGTGGAGTGTGAAGCAGAGATCGCAAAGGCTGATGGGCAGACTGAAAGTACCCCAAGGGCGCAGCCTTTCCCCAAAGACTCTGTGGTAGAGGCCTCAAGGCCTAAGGAAGAAGCATTTACAAATGGCGGTGTGGCTGATTCAACCACAGAACATGAGCCAGATTCTCTGGTTCAAGTGGATTCTGGGGCTGAATCCTCAAAGCTTGATTGGGACATAGTGCCTAATGGTGCCACGGCCAATCTGAGTACTGAACAAGATGAAGAGTTATCTGCCCCTAGGGATTCTGGGACTGAAGCCTCAGTGCATGATGGGAAGGTGTTAGCTGGCAGCGCCACGCCCGTCCAAGACACAGGACCAGTGGCTCGAGGGGACAATGGGGTGGAAGCTGAAAAGTCTGATGGGAAACTGTCGGCCAGCAACGGCGAGAAGCTGGTGCCCCCTCCACGGCTGAAGCGGATCGCCTCTCGGAGTGGTGCTGAGCGCCCTTTGCAGCGCACCCTCTCCACGGGGAGCCAGCAGAGTCCTGTAGCCCCACCGCGACCCCATGCGGGCAAGTCCACCTTCGCTCACGTGCGGGATGCAGACCTGGTGAAGAAGCGGCGTTCGCGGCTCAAGAGCGAGTCCTCCCTGTCAATGGACGAAACAGATACAGGCGTCCTGTCAGAAGACTCCACCAAAAGGCTGGCTGTGGTGAGTGATGCTCCTGGGAGGCATTGGACGCGTCTGCTGGTGTTTCTGACAGGGCGGATGTTGCATGACAGGTTGTCAGTCCCGGCTGCGCTGAGCCTTTGCTGATCTTTTTTGCTGTCCTCCTGACACACTAAGAATTCCCTCCCCCCTTGGAGATTTGATCACTGATCTTAGCCTCACATGTGCGGAGTGATGCATGCAGAATCACATTTTCCCAACATCAAAGCTGACCCTGCATGTTTCTGTCTTTGGGGACAGGGCTTCCCAGCATGCTTGACCGCCAGGGATTTGATAGTCGGAACTCTTTGCTTTTAGAACATAAGAACATAAGAGACGCCAGTGTTGGATCAGGCCAAAGGCCCATCCAGTCCAACACTCTGTGTCTCACAGTGGCCATAAATACCAGGTGCCATCAGGAGGTCCACCAGTGGGGCCAGGACATTAGAAGCCCTCCCACTGTTGACCCCCCCCCCAAGCACCAAGAAGACAGCGCATCACTTGCCCCAGAGCCCCTATCTATACCTTGTGGGCTGATAGCCACTGATGGACCTCTGCTCCATATGCTTATCTAATTCCCTTTTGAAGCCGTCCATGCTGCGACACTTCGCTTTTGTGGTCGGGATTACTCAGTTTGAAGCTGGGAGCGGGGAATTTCTGGGAAGTAGATGCCTTGTGCTTTGCCGTGGGATGTCCTCCCTGTCTTGTGGGAGTTGGCAGCGGCACAGCCTTTGATCCTTCCTAACTCCTCCCCCCTTCCTCACCGCCCTTACTGTGTGGCTCATCCCTCACTTGGTGCCAGCTGCTTCTGTTGTCTTGGGTCTCTCTTCTCACCTAAGAGCAGGGGCATTTTCTCTTCCTTACTTTCCGGTGGGCGTTTTTGCCCCCGACCCAGGGTTAACCGAGATGGGTTTTTGGATTGCAGCCTAACAAGATCCAGTGCAGTGATTCAGACTGTTGCTCTGGAGCAAGTGTTGAAGAGTGCGATGCATTCTGTGTGGCTCCATTTCTCATTGTCCTGGTGAACTGAGAACCAGCCACTTTTCATTCAGAAAACATCTCTGTCTGTGAAATTATAGACACCTGCCTGGCTGGGTGACCCTGCATGTAACAAAGCGGTGTTTGGTCCGTAAATGCTTCTTCTACAATAAACGTATTAACCTTTAAATAATTGCATGACTGTCTTTTTTTTTCCTTGTGAAAGACTAACACCCTTCTGGAATCTGTTTTCTGGATCTTTCGTGACCTTTCTGCATCTCAGGGTTCTCTCTCTCGGTATTCACTAATTCTAATGTTTACCAAGCACGGCTGGGCTGACTTTATACCCTGCTCAGCATCTACTTCATACTAGAACCAAATCCTGGGAAGGGGATGGGTGGCCCTCAAGCAAATCGCACTGCCACCCCTGCCTTACATTGCCTTTTTCTCCTCTGCGTCTGCATCTGGTGCAGGCAGGGGGGCACCCCAAAAGTGACTGTCCTTTGCTTGGGTGGAGGAGGTGGGGTGGGGCTTGGTGTAAACAAAACAATCCTTATGTCTTCCTTGTGGCATTATGAATGAATGTGGCATTGTGTGGCAAAAGAAAGGGTAAGAGCATTGATTTCTCCCGTTGCACTTGAAGCCTCTTTACACATTATGGAGTGGACAGGATGGGCATGCAGTGTTTGCGTGAGTCTTCCCAGTGGGCCCAGTAGTGCTCCCCAGGACCATTTCCGGTTGGGGAAATGGTGCAGGATGGAGAAGCTGAAGATCCTTCTCCACGTGTGCCGCAGCTGTGATCCAAAAGGGGCATAACGCTTCCGGGAATTGAGGAGAGCCCACAGTGCACATCTGCCTTACATAGGACCCAGGGTGGGGGACCCTAGATTCAGCCTGCATGCTCAGAAGAGGCACATGGGAAACATTTGATTTCCCCTCTCACGGTAAGATTTTCTGGTGTGTGTGTGTGTGTGTGTGTGTGTGAGTGTGTGTAACTCCTGGCCCCACTGGTAGACCTCCTGATGGCACCTGGTATCTTTGTCCACTGTACGACAGAGTGTTGGGCTGGATGGGCCATTGGCCTGATCCAACATTGGCCTCTCTTACGTTCTTATTTCTAAATAGGTGGGTTCTCTGTATAAATTAATTTTTTCCCTAAGAGAAAAATGGTTCCAGGACTCGATTCTGTGTGTTCTGGTGTGGTGACCTCTGTTCTTCTCTGCTCCCTCAGGACGATGGCTCTGATGAGTGTTCAAGACTCAGACAAAGCACATCAAAGGTGCAGCAACCTCCAGGTGAGTTTGTGGGTTGTCGGCCAGATGGGTGGGTGTGGCTGAAGCTTGCAGGGTGCACGTGTGGGGTGTGGCTTTCCCCTCACTGTATCCCAGAACATCTCCTAAGGACCATCAGGAGGCAGGGGGGAGCTCCAGCCTGTGCTGGTTCCAGCCGTTAGCCCATGCTCTCTTTTCTAGACGCCTGCTGCTAGCTCAGTTTAAGCTTCCTTCTTCTCTCTCCATTATAGTTCCTTCCAGCACTACCTCCCAGAACCTGATCCAGGACTCTGGCCTCAAGAACAGCACCAATGAAGAGGAAGTTCCGGTAAGGTGTGGGAAGGGCTGGTCTAGCTCTGTAATGGGCTTTGGTGCACTTTGCTGAGAGAGCTCAGTCAGAATAGAGCCTCCAAGTTCAAGAGCAGTCTACCTTAGATTACCAGATGATGGGGACAAACAGTGGGGGAAATCAGCTACCTTGCACTGGGGGAAGGGGACAGCAGGGCAGGATAATTAAAATATGCTTTCTCCTCCCCTCTTGGCCTCTAAATGGCCACTGTTGGAGACTAGAGCAATAAAATTTTGTTCACTCTTTGTTCAAGATCCCGAGGCCCTTGTGCAAATCTTCTGTTGCTCTGGAGGCTGCTTGTTTGTTTGTTTTCCCCAACCTCGATCCAGCTTTCTTTTTGGTGAGCCACTCGTCCGACTTGTCAGTTGGGAGCAGAGCCGCCCCCCCCCCCCCCATGCCCTGTGCCATTGCCGAAATTGTGCCAGTGATGCGTGTGCATTGCCACCATCTTTGCTGAGGACAGCACAGTTGGACCACGGGCCAAATTCAGCTGACCCATTCCTCACAAGAATAGTAGGGTCTCCCAGAGCAGAAAGCAAATGGCTGACAGTAGGCCCTTCGCTTTAAGACGGCGAAGTTCTAGACCTCATGACTGTGCTTGAAAATCCAGGAGAGAGCTGGTTGGTGGAAAGTCTTTCCTTAGTGGTCTGTTCAGCCACTTTCTCCGTGCCCTGTGCCAGGGAAGCAACATAGCTCAGCGTTAACAGCAAATGTTTTGCATGCGGCGTATCCCAGATTTAATCCTTGACATTTCCAGTTGGAAGGTCTCAGGCAGCCAAGCAAAGGCAGCTGCTGCCAGTCAGTAGCTGGTAATACTAGGCTAGCTGAACGACTGGTTTGATTCCACAAGGCAGCTTCATACGTCTGGTTTCTCCTCCCAGTAACCCTGTGAGGTAGGCTGGTGGTGTTCCTGTTTTAATGATTGGGAAAGGTCAGGCAGAACCATAGAGCTGGAAGGGACCTCCAGGGTCATCTAGTCCAACCCCCTGCACAATGCAGGACATTCACAAATACCACACACACCTCCTCAGTGACCCCTGTTCCATGCCCAGAAGATGACAAAAAACCTCCAGGATCTCCAGCCAAATTGGCCTGGAGAAATATGGCCAAAGCTGTCTGGGCTGGGTAGGCAGAGACAAGACTGGCTCTCCTATGTCTGAGTGTGACTCTCCAGCCACTAGGCCACAAATTTGGTATCCAAAAGGTGGAGAGACAGCCCTTCTGTCGGGAAGTGGCTGTGACTGTTTCTGTTTCAAGGTTCACCAAGCTTTTGGAGCCTGCAAACAATTTGGAATCCTGACGGGATGGTGGGCGCAGCAACAAAATGGCTGCCACAGGAGGCAGAGCCAGCCACAAAACGATTGCCACAGCTTGATTTTGGTAACACAGTACAGATCCTTGTGCTGTAGTGGCACAGCACACACACAAAAAAGATCTGCACAGCCGATCAAATCTCCAATGGCCAATCAGAAGCCTTGCTGGGCAAAAGCCCTACCTGGCCCCACCCACCTCCTAAAAACACTTGGTGGGCGCCAGAAAAGGTGGTGTTGGGTGCCGTGGTGTCCAGAATCACCACATTGGGAACCCCTGTTCTGTCTCATCCCAGTATTTCGCTTTTCTGGAGCTCTTTTTGTGGGGCAGCCCTCTTGCGGTCTTGTGCTGTCCTTCACGCCCTGACTCAGGAGAGCACTGCCTCTAATGTCTGTCCTGACTTTGCCTTAGAAATTCCAGGACACCAGCCAGTATGTGGTAGCTGAACTTCGGGCGTTGGAGACAGAACAGAGGCAAATCGATGGGCGGGCAGCCATCGTGGAGAAGGAGCTACGAGGACTCATGGAAATAGGGAAAGTGTTCTGGCTCCAAAAGTGACACGACGTCGGAAGGAGCTTGTGGAAGAGGAGAGCACAGACCAAGCCAGAATGGTTCTGATGGAACAATAACAGGGAACTGGATTTCCTTTCTGGGCCTTTCTGGGTTTTTGCCGTCCCAAACAGCCTTTTGGTGCCACCCACTGTCTGAATGTGGAACTACCACCAGGAGACATCTCAGGATGCACTGGAGATTGTTGGGTGGAAGAAGTTGTACAGCCACATACATTCATGCAAAATCCAGGTAATTCGATTTTTTGGACCAGCCAGACTAGCACAAAACTCTCTGCAAGCTTGCTTACCAACAGTGTGGCTGAAGGCTTCTGCCTGCTACCCTTCTGTCTTTTTAAATTTTGCAACATCTATTTAATTAATTTATTTATTTATACCCCGCCCTCCCCGCAAGCGGGTTCAGGGCAGTTTACATATTTGGTCTGTAAATTACCATTCATTCACATTAAAACAGTTTCAAATTCAATTACAATAAAACAAGAGTCTCATAAAGTGCTAGTGCCAAAACATTCGGTACATAAGATGGAATGCTGAAAGTACCATACTGCCTGACAGTTTGCCACAGTCAGTGGTCTTCCTGAGCGCAGTGGTAGAGGCCAGATGTTGAAACTACGGGCCGGCTCATTGGTAGTAGTGGAAGCGGCTCCTAGTTGAAAGCCTGGTGGAAGAACTCCATCTTGCAGGCCCTGCAGAACTGCACAAGATACCGCAGGGTCCTGATCTCCTCCAGGAGCTCATTCCACCAGTATGGAGCCACCACTGAAAAAGCCCTGGCCCTGGTGGTGGTGAGCCTGGCATCCTTGGGGCCTGGCAGGGCCAGTCGGTTCTGGGACCCCGACCTCAGTGCTCTCTGGGGTATATATAGGGAAAGGCAGTCCCTCAGGTATGTCGGACCCTGGCCATATAGGGCTTTAAAGGTAAGCACCAGCATCTTTTCAGTTTGGTGTAGTGGCTAAGTGTGCAGACTCTAATCTAGGAGAACCGGGTTTGATTCCCCACTCCTCCACTTGCACCTGCTAATGTGACCTTGGGTCAGTCACAAGCTCTGGCACAGATGTTCCTGAAACAGCAGTTTGTGTCAGAGTTCTCTCAGCCCCACCCACCTCACAGGGTGTCTGTTGTGGGGAGGGGAAGGGAACGGAGTTTGTAAGCCGCTCTGAGACTCCAAATGAGGGGCGGGGTATAAATCCAATCTCTTCTTCTCACCTTGAAGCAAATTTGGTATGTTATTGGCAGCCAGTGCAGCGCCTTCAGCACAGGTTGGATGTGTTCCCATCTGGGAAGACCCATCAGAAGCCTGGCCATGGCATTCTGCACTAGCTGCAGCGTCCGAATTTGCAACAGGGGCAGCCCCATGTAGAGTGTGTTACAGTAGTCTAGTCTAGTCTCGAAGTGACCGTCGCATGGATCACCGTAGCCAGGTCGTTGCGGCTGAGAAGGGGAACCAACTGCCTGATCTAGACAAAGAGTTCTGGTGAGCATGAAAGCTTGCACAGTTTGGGGCTAATTTGGTTGGTCTAACGAAAGGTCTTACTCAGATTTTGCTCTTGGTTGGTTCAACTGGCTCAGATTTTCTCACAGGACCCTGAGTATTGTTGTTTTATGAGGCATAGAGAGTGCTTTTTTAAAAGAGTTTTGCAGAACCACATATTCCATGTTTCCCTCATTTTGCAGCTCTGGCAAGAAGCTCTGGCACTGCTTTAAAAATGTATTTGTGGATATGCCCCTAAGATTTTGGGGGTAGGAATATATAGGTGCCTTTGCATGCGTGAGAGCAGTCCTGAATGGATGAGGGATGTAGGGATGGGCCCACGCCAGTGGCATTGATTTGATACTCCCTTTTCCATAATTGCATTGCAAGTGTCATCGTTTTAGTCATTCCCCGGAGAGAGACTGTCTGCAGCTTGTTCTACCATTATCATGCAATTGGAAAATCCCCACCCCATCATCGTCCAGACTGGTTTGCACAGTACGGCGTAGCTGACTTGTGCTCTAAAAGCTGCCTACTTGTAAGAGATGGAAACACACAAGATTGTAGCTCCCCTTCCACATAAAGAAAGCTGAAAAAGGAAACAAAGAACCCAATATCTTTTGTGAGTTTGTGGTTCCTGTCTAAACTGCACATGTGAGTAAGCCCCTCAGTGAGCAGTATTTCCCTTGCATGGCCAGCGGGCTCATAATTGGAAGTGATTCTGAGAGCCTAATGAGGGGGTTAGAAGGTACAAAAGTTGTCCTGCAAATATATAATCTGTTAATGAGCTGACTCGTAGCACTGTTTACTAGCTACTTGCTCATAACCCTTTCACTACTCATTTTTGACGTTAAAGAGGAATCCTCTTCCTGTTTACAGAACTTCCCTGTGTGGTCACTTAGAAGTGATGCATACTCACCCCAGGGGACCATGAGAGTGGATGTAGACAAGCCTGAGCTTAGGGATAGTCACTCTGCATCAATATGATCCTGAATGCATGCCCACAGGCTCACACCTGGTAGTTCCCGTTTTACAGAGATGCCCAGCTGAGGCCAGGCGAGTGCTAGAGTGAAATGATGCTCACACAGTCTCCCCCTTTGGCTGTTCCATTTCAGGGGCCGACAAGCTGAAAGAAGAGGAGCTGATCCAGGAATGGTTCACGCTGGTAAATAAGAAGAATGCCCTGATCCGGCGGCAAGACCAACTGCAGCTTCTGTGAGTGTGGTGGAGAGGAAAGGGAGGGGCTTCCTACGACCCTCAGCCCAGTTTCCCCCTGGCAGGGTGTAGGAAAGGCTTTGCACCTATAAGGATGTTTACCAGTTAGGAGAAAGCATGCACTCCCCCCCCCCCCAAGAAAGTGTGCATTGGTCTGACACGTGACGTCACTTCAACAAACCCTGGATGCTGCTGCCCTGACATGTATGTTCACCCTCTAGATGGCTTCAGCTCCACGTTCAGACTTGCCCATCTGAATGAGCCACTGCAGTATAAATGGCACAAGGAGTGAACCAGCAGTTCCCGGAGACAGGTGCCACATCCGGCTGCCCATTCATCGAGTGTGGAGTGGTGACTGGCATGTCCGGACCGGCTGTGAGAGAGGGAAAGGAGAGAGCAGAATTGCAGACTCTACACTGACCTAGTTTCAGAGGGCTGCCGTGTTGGTCTGCAGCTGAAGAGCCGGGTTCAAGTCCAGTAGCACCTTTAGAGGCCAACAAGATATTTTTTTTTGGGGGGGGTTTGAGCTTTTGAGAGTGAAAGCTCCCTTCCTCAGATGGCCATTGAAGGTGAGACCTTGACCCTGGGGAGGGAGAGGAGGACACATGGCGGCTGCAGCCCCATCTGTAGATTGTCTGGAGAGAAGAGCCTGTCTCACAGGCCCTATGGAGGGGGGAGCCGTGACTCTCGAAAGCTAATGCCCTCAAAATCTTGTTTGTCTCTAAGGGGCTTCGGGACTCTAAGCTAGCTGTTCTTAATTTGCACGCTCACGTGTGAGCACTGCCTCTAGACAAGGCCCTGCTGCACCTCTTCTCGTTCATGGGGAGGGCGGGGTAAAATTGCAAATAAATAACAAACAACAACAAACAAATACCTTTATTGGCATAAAAACAAATAAATAAATTAAATAAATTCTCCAGGTGCCTCTGTCCTCCACCTGCTTTCTGCAGCAGTGCAGTAGAGACCTCTGGTCTTTCAGGAAGTCCCTGCACATAACCCCCCTTGTAGGGAACCCATTCCTGTCTATGCAGTATGGGAACATGTGCGCATGTGCGAGAGGAAGCAAGAGCGCAGAACTCTAGGCAGGTGCTCCTAACACCGGCTTGCCACCCTCGGTGTGAACACAGCCTCTGCTTCCTCCCCCAGGATGGAAGAGCAAGACCTGGAGCGGCGGTTCGAGCTCCTCAGCCGTGAGCTGAGAGCCATGATGGCTATTGAAGGTGAGACCCTGGCCCTGGGGAAGGAGAGGCAGGGCAGCTGCTGCCACGTCTCTAGGATGCTGGGAGAGGAGAGCCTGTTTCACGGGGTTGCTGGGAGGATGAAGTGGAGGAGGAGAGAACGATGCAAGCCACTTGAGGGGGGCACCCCTTGAGGGGAGAAAGAGAGCGGGTATAAGAGTGCCTCTGCAGCCAGAATGTTGCCTGTTGGGACAATGCCAACCTTCCCTCTGTACTGAGAGTCAGCGGGTGTCGTGGCTAAGAGCAGCGGACTCTAATCTGGAGAACCGGGTTTGATTCCCCACTCCTCCGCGTGAAGCCAGCGGAGTGATCGCGAGCCAGTCACAGCTCTCTCAGAACTCTCTCAGCCCCGCCTACCTCACAAGGTGACTGTTGCGGGGAGAGGAAGGGGAAGGTGATTGTAAGCTGCTTTGAGACTCCTTCGGGTAGAGAAAAGCGGAGTATAAAAACCTTGAAAACCCATCTCTGAGCCACTCCAAGAGCCTTCCCAGATCAGGGAAGGGTCAGCAGCAGCCATACACAAAAGATGGGAGGGGTGAACTGTAATGCCTGTGACTGGTGAGGGCCTGCTCTGCTCCCCCCCCCCCCCCGCTGGGTTTGGCTCAAAACAGAAGCCCAGAAGCAGCGCGAGCAACTCCTCCTGGAAGAGCTGGTGTCCCTGGTGAACCAGAGGGACGAGCTGGTGAGAGACCTGGACATCAAAGAGAGGATGTGAGTAGTGCTGATTTCTCGGGATGAGTTGCCCAGGCAGAGGCTTTAGAGCAACAGGGAGAGGACGCGCACCCCAAGAGAGCAGGAGTCAAAATGCGAAAGGCTGGAGGCCTCCCTGGATTGGGCCTTCTCAGTGCAGGGATTCCCTGGCCCATCGAGGAGGGGCCGTGGTCCAATGGCACTGCATCTGCTTGGTATGCAGAAGGTCCCAGGTTCAATCCTTGGCGTCGCCAGTTAAAAGGGTCCGATAGTAAGGTGACGCGAAGGGCCACTGCTTGACATGCTGGAACGCTGCTGCCAGTCAGAGGACGTGATACTGACCTTGACAGATGAGTAGCCGGACTCAGTATAAGGCAGCTGGCTTCATGTGTCATTTTTCTGCCAGCAACCAGGATGGCCCACTTGTTCAGACTTCCTGCAGAGAAGGCTCCTGGGTTGGGTGCCAGGGCAATAAGGAAGGCATGGATGCCTCTCTGAGCGTGTACGGGCTGCTTTCCCCTTCGTAACCCAGCTTACCTCTGGAATGGGCAAGACAGGGCTTTCAGTTCTGAGGGGAAAGTATTCCAGCAAGGCTTGAGCTCCAGCACCCTGCATTTTAGAAATTAAACTCTGGGTGCTGCAGAATGGAAGGAAAAGCATTTCATAGTGCTGGGGGAATGCAGAGAAAAGATGACGGGCACTGGAAAAAGGTGTGTGTGTGGATGGAAATCAGTAATGGATTCTCTATATCACTGCAAAGCTACCGAGAGAGACAGAATTGGGTTCACAGGTCTGTTAATGGATCCTTAAGACATAGAGGATATGGGGGAGGAGAGAGGGAGGGCATGAATGAGAACGAGTACTTTGACATTAGTATATACAGAGTTTTATTTTGAGGGTTTTTGTTGGGATTCTTTTTTGAGGTTAGTCAGCAGAGTATTAAGAGACTGAGTCCATGGTGTGTTTAAAAATATAAAAGTTTACTATAAACCTAACATGGGAAAAGGGTACACAGGATAGAAAATAACAAAAGAGCTTATACGCCTACATCCTTACATCTAAAGAGCCGGAATGGTGTCTCCTTCTCTAGTCAGAACAAAGAACCCACAGACGGGAAGAGAAGCCACAAAATGGTAATACACCGTGACACTTTAGTCCCAATCAAATCCCTAGATCAGGGAGAAAATTCCCGTGCTTCCTATTGTCTAAACAGATTGGTTACAAACAAACACGTGACTTAACAAACATCATTAACCCTGAAAATACTGAAGTGTTTTTAACTTCTAACACCCAACAGTTTTTTACCTGGAATATCTTCCCTTTTATTTCATGGATAAGATTGGACATTTTAAATACAGTGGAGAAGACGTGTGCATTTCCCCCTCTCCAAAAATTTAAGTGTCTTCCCCCACCTATTACATCCCTTGGGGAAGCAAGCAATATTTGGACTGATAGGAAGAAGCTGGTTGCTGGGAAGGGCAAATATTGAAAAAAGGGATGGTTTGGTGACTGCTGCACGAGATTGGTCCAGCATCCTATTGGAGGGACGTAGGAATATCCCAGTGTTGGTAGCTTGCTATGGCAGGATATAGCCAGAGAGAGAGAGTAACATGATTTGACTCCCTGGAAGTCATCAGGGCCATCAACTAATGCCATTGAGAAGTTGGCAGCCTTTTTAAAAAGAAAAAATGGTAAGAACAAAAAGTGCAACGATAGCCACCATCCCTGCGAACTAAGCTGATTTTTATCCGTATCGCTGAAAGGGTTAACATCTCTCTTTCTGTTGTGTCTCCCCCCCCCCCCCCCGCCGTGAACTGGAAGAGGATGCCAGACTAGAAAGGGGATTGCAACAGAGAAGACGCAAGCTCAGCCGCAAGGAGAAATGCCGCGTCAGCTGAGGCGGCAAGCGAGTTGCTACTCTTCCCTCCTTCCCGTACACGTCAGCAGGGGGAGTCAGCAAATGACAGCACTTCTTGTTCCCTAAAGACAGCACCTCCCCCAGTTGTCCCCCCCCCCCAGCCTTCACAGGGGCACCTCCTGCCCTGACACAGTATTGCGTCCTGCCAGTGCCAATCATTACCCACAGTCCCTTGGGGCCTTAAGCTGCTTGTCGCTTGACATAAGTTATGCCAAAGAGGGGCTTGGGGTGGGGTGCAGTCCTGAGCTGCTTTCTTTCACTGACCCCATTTCCAAGACCCTAGAGGATATTTTGGATGACATTTTTTTTAGGGCAGTGCCCGGGAATCTACTATCTGGAGAGAGCAGAAAAAACATTTTAATCTCTCTCTCTCTCTCTCTCCAAACTTCAAATCTATTTATTTGTGTGTGTGTGTGTGCGCTTGTCTGTGAGTGAGCTCCTCCTCTAGTTTTAACGTCTCCCCCCCAAAAAAAACCCCAAGGATGCTGTTGTTTTTTGAAAACAAAGCTTTTACAGGGCTCTGTATTTTATTTTTTAATTATCAATGTTGTTATTCTCCTCGATGGTACAAAAGTCACAAAGTGCCTTGGACACTCTGACAGCCGGATTTGGGTCATGGCGAACTTTTAAATCCCAGTTTCACACCACCCTTTTCTTCTCTCCTGCCCCCCCCCCCCACAGGTTGGTCTCTTCCAGGTTATTTGCACTAAATTTGTACCAGGGTTTGAAATAAACAGATCAAAAAGACATGAGGCTTGAGAAACTAATTTGTGGCGAAGCATTTATTTCCAAATTCTCTTTTTTTTGTATTTTTTGCATTTGTGTGTGTCTGTACCTGGAAGTCATGGCGACCTCTGGCAACTGGAGCACGGAGGACATTCAGAGAAGTGGCTTGATAGCCTGCCTCTGCCTCCCAGCCCTGGCATTCTCTGGAGGTCTCCCATCCAAATACTTGCCAGGGTCACCCTGCTGAGCTTCTGAGATCAGGCTTGCCTGGGCTGTCCAGCTTGGGGCATCCCCAAATCCTCTTTGTATGTCTTACACAAACACAAGTTGAAAACATACTGTCACTGAGGAGATCCTTCTTGGCTGCTGGCCACGTTACGGGGGGGTGGAGGTGTCTACAGCTCCAGAGCCAAATGTGGCTCAGTGCAGAACCGAATAAGGTTCTTTTAAAAATCTTTAAGCTAAGGTATGTTGGAGGAATTTGTGGAATGCTAGAATAACCAGTATGTGAAGACAATGGCAGGCAAAGACATTGCACATGAGTGAAGGACTTTGTAGAGATGCGTCTTAGAAAGGGAAATGTCAGAGGTGAACAGTTGCCGGTGATGTAAGGGCAAACCGTGCACAGACTTATGCCCATGCACTGAAACAATTGTGCAGGATGTTCCTGTGTATGTTCATGACTTAGTGTGCCACTTCCTAATAAAGGACTCACAACAACCAGATTTTGGGCTACAGAAACTTTATGGATTATTCGTCAACACACCATTTATTAGCAACATTGTTTATTTTCAGTTATGCAAATATGTTTTCTTAGATTGGGGTCTTTCTTGCTCTGAATTTTGATGTGCTTTGGCTCTTTCATTATAAAAGGTTGTTGATGACCCCCTGCGCTGTTGCGACACCTGAAGATTGCAGCAATAGGATGTTGACGAACATCCTGTGGGGGAAGTGAAAGTTCAACTTTAATGGAAAAGGAAGTGCTGTCAGTATTTGGTTGCAGACCTCATGTTAAGTGTGCGTGCCTATGCTCACGTGTATGCATGCAAAAACTACATCCAGGCTGTTCAAATAGTAGAAATACGTGGGAAACATTGTTACAGTGACTGTTGCCCCCCCCCCCATGGATAAGGAATCTCACTGGGTGCTCCTCCAATGCAGGAGACTCTTGTACCCCTCCTTTCCTGGAAGCACCTGTAAAGTTATCCAGACTCTATATTGTCATTCATTTTAAGAGCAGATTTGATGGTTGTTTCCTATCTGCAGGGCAGCAAAACACGCCATTCACAAGCATTGTTTCTGCATATTTGGGGGACTCCCCAAGTATGCAGGAAAAAAGTTTAGTGAATTACCCCCCAGAAAATGGCTTGATGAGGACCAAGCATGCTCATTGCCCTCCACAGGACACAGAATGTTGAGGGCAGTTGGGTGGTTGTTGAAGAGAATAAAAAAGGGAGTTGGGAAGGAAACTTGACCTGTCCTGGTCCCTAGCGGTTTAAGACATACTGGAGTGTGTGCGAGGTACTCTTCCTCCCCCCCCCCCCCCCCGGAACTTACACAGCTACTTCAAGGTTCAATCCCTGGTATATGTATTGAAGAGGATATTGGGGAAACAAAATTTAAGACCAACAACATTTTCCAGGACAAAGTTTGAGTCCAGTGGCACCTTTAAGAGCAACAAAGTTTAATTCTGGGTATAAGCTTTTGTGTGCAGGCACACTTCATCAGGTATCATTGTGTTCCCCCCCACCCCACCACCAAGCAAGCCGGGGAAAGAGAGGTCGATGCAATTGCCAGAAGTGATGCCTGCAATCACGGGGGATGCAGCCAGCCATAGTTCTGGCAATGACAACACTGACGCCACATTTTACAGCATTCAGATATGCAAACTTGTAATACAGCTGGGGGAAAATATGGATCTGTCACATCTCAGTGGTTCATGTTACGTAGGGGTGTTCGTGAGGTGGGGAGTGTCCGTTTGGGAGCTTCCAAAATTCTGCCACCCCACCCCCACAGGCCTCCAAGGCTCTTTGCGAGAAGAGCTCGGCAACTCTCCTGAACCAAGCCTAGAACAGTGGTTTTTGTCTGCCAAGATACTGAGAGGTGGCACAGGGCGATCTTCTGGCCCAGATTAGGTATCTTGACACCAGGAATGGTCCAGGAATGTGGTGGTAGAATGTGCCATCAAGTCACAGCCAACTTTTTTCAAGGCAAGAGACGTTTGGCGGTGGTTTGCCATTGCCTGACTCTGTGTTGCAACTCTGGACCTCCTTGGTGGTCTCCCATCCAAATACTAACCAGGGTCGACCCAGCTTAGTTTCCCAAATCTGACGAGATCAGGGTAGCCTGGGCCTTCCGGATCAGGGCAGGTTCAGGAATATCTATTTTTGTATAATAAAACTGCCAGGACTTAGCCAGGAAATTTAAAGTATCCCACCAAGGTATCAAGCATGGGTAAAGAGTGTCTCACCTGACACAGAGCAACGAGCCCCACGAGCATCTCAGTATAACCAAGCTGGGTTTTCCAATCGCAGCGGGGACCGCTTACAGGCATGTGGGAGTCCCAGCAGCTCTTCTCTGAAATGATCCCGGGCCCACCCTGCCCCCTAACTTTCCCCATCAGTCTAACCTTCCCCACATGGCCTCTTCTGTCTCTGTAGCCAAAGATTTTCCCCTGGGAGGGGGCTGCAATTTGCGTGGGGCAGGCTGCCCACCTCCACCAAGGGAAACATCAAGTGGGCCCTCTTTCCGTGGGCCTGTCGGGGGGACTTATCGTAGACACTGTGGCCAAAGCAAACTGGTCCCTGGCCAGGATTTCCACGTGGTCATCGTCCTCCCGGGGAGAGTCCCGAGCAGGGGCAAAGAAGTGGATGAAAGCACGGACTTCCCGCAGCCTGTATGCAGTCTCCAGAGTCAGGAGCATGGCCAGGAGACCCACAAGGAGATAGCCTGGAAGGAAGGCAGGGAAGAAAAGATCGTAAGGACGGGGAAGCTTCCCATCGCCTCCACCAGAGCTGGAAAGGTTTCCACAGCGACATGCTTGTGATATTGTTCACGCGGTACAATCATAGCATTCCCCGGACCGCATAAGCCCCTCCTCTCTGGAAGCCACCTGTCCCCCATTGTTGGTAGTGGAAGGCGCTGCCAAGTGGCGGCTGAGTCACGGTGACTCCCGTAGGGTTGCAAGAGGCAAGAGACGGACAGAGGTGGTTTGCCGTTTGCCTGCCTCTGCAGGGCAGTCATGGGCTTCCTGGGTGGTCTCCCATCCAAGCACTAACCAGGGCTGACCCCTGCTTAGCTTCCCAGGTCTGACGATATCAGGCTAGCCTGGGCCACCCAGGTCAGGACCCTCCTGGCTACAGAGCCAGTTTGGTGTAGTGGTTAGGAGCGCGGACTCTGATCTGGGAGCACCGGGTTTGATTCCCTGCTCCTCCACATGCAGCTGCTGGTGTGACCTTGGGTCAGTCATAAGCAGTGTTCCCTCCCAGCTGAGTTAGTGTGAGCTAGCTCACAGGTTTTTCGCCTCCGGCTCAAACATTTTCGTCTTCGTTCAGGAAGGATGGCTCCAGAGCAAACTACCGTATTTTTTGGACCATAAGACGCACTTTTTCTTCCAAAAAAAGTGAGGGGAAAAGTGTGTGCGTCTTATGGACCGAATACTGAGCCCCAGGGTTCAGAATATTTTTTCCCCTGTTTTCCTCCTCTAAAAACTAGGTGCGTCTTATGGTCCGGTGCGTCTTATGGTCCGAAAAATACGGTAATTTATGCAGCAGCCAAATCTCCTGCTCACAATGTTAATGCCAGTAGCTCACAGAGTAGAATTTTTGCTCACAGAGCTCCATAGCTTAGAGGGAACATTGGTCATAAGTTCTTTCAGAGCTGTTCTCTCAAGGGCAGTTCAAGAGAGAGCTCTCTCAGCCCCACCTACCTCACAGGGTGTCTGTTGTGGGGAGGGGAAGGGAAAGGAGATTGTAAGCTGCTCTGAGACTCCTTTGGGCAGTGAAGGGCGGGGTATAAATCCAATCTCGTCTACTTCATCATCTGCATATTTTCAGCCTTAGTCTCCCTTCTGATTATTTCTTGCTGCTTCTGCACAAACCCATCTAACATCCCCCACCCCCGGCCTCTCTTCTCCTGCCCCCGTTTTCAAAACTTCTCTGTGTGGGCAGTGCTGTCTAAACCAGTCCCTCGCTGGTCGTCTGCTCCCATCCCCACCATTCATTGCTCCTTCTCCCTTGGCTTTTCTCCCCCTTTCTCTCTTGCCATTGCTCATGCAGACTGAGTGTGAGACTCCTAGAGGAGAGACTACATGGCCTCTCTGTTCTACAGAACATGCAGCACGCTTATTAGTTTATTTCCAAAGGTGCTCCATGGTCCTTATCTTCATTCCAGCGCCAGCAAGGTCAGGATCTCCATTTTATCAACTAGGGAAACTGAGGTACGTAAGTAGGATTTGAACCCAACAGGTTGTGGCATTAGTTTAATTCCTGACACAGGGGGCTGGCGTTATGCTTACCTTTCAGCCTGATCTTTTGATGCTCCATTTTTTTTTTGCCTCATCTCAGCTGTAAGGTGTTAGTCATTCCCAGGGCTTTTTTGGTAGAAAAAGCCCAGCAGGAACTCATTAGCATAATAGGCCACACCCAACAGCAGAAACTCATCAGCATATTAGGCCACACCCTGACAGCACATCTCATTAGCCTATTAGGCCACACCCCATGTTACCAGAAGTGTGGTCATCCAGCCACACCCACCTTTTGCTTCTTATTCTATTTACTTTGTTTATTGTCAAAACGCAGGGCCTTTTTGTAGCAGGAACTTATTTGCATATTAGGCCACACACCCCTAATATAGCCAATCCTAATGAGTTTCTGCTGTTGGGTGTGGCTTATTATGCTAATTAGTTCCTGCTGGGCGTGGCCAACGTGGGAGCCAGCCAGAACTCCATTCCTGTGTGTTCCTGCCCAAAAATAGCCCTGGTCATTCCACAGATGAGTGGAATGCACTCTATACATGCTCAGAGGTGTGGTGGAGGAGTTAGATTTGCTGACAAGGATCTTGGAGATCCAGGTTCAGATCCCCACTGTGCCATGAAGTCTGGTGGGTGATCTTGAGCCGCTCAGCCTACACTACCTCACAGGCTTGTCACAAAGGTAAAATGGAAGAGCAGAGACTGATCTTTGAGTGCCTTGGAGGAAATGCAGAATTAAAAATGAAATTAAATAAATAAATATATATCCCACTTTTTAAAACGTTTCACCGAACATTTCAAAGTGGACCTCTGACATTTTAAGCCGGTTCTGTTGTCGAGGGGCTCGGTGGTGGAAAGTGCTGTCAAGTCGCAGATGACTTACGGTTGCCCTGTAGGGTTTTCACGGCAAGAGCTGAACAGAGGTGGTTTGGCCATTGCCTGCCTCTGGGTAGCCACCCTGGACTTCCTGGGTGGTCTCCCATCCAAGTACTAACCAGGGCAGACCCTGCTTAGCTTCCAGAATCTGACATAACGGGCTAGCCTGGGCCATCTCAGATCAGGGGTGTTGGATCCTTAAGGTAAAGGTTCCCTTGCTCGAAAGCCAGTCGAATCCGACTCTAGGGTTGCGGTGCTCATCTCTGTTTCAAAGCCGAAGAGCCAGCGCTGTCCGAAGACGTTTCCGTGGTCATGTGGCCAGCATGACTAAAAACCAAGGCGCACGGAACGCTGTTACCTTCCCACCGAAGTGGTACCTATTTATCTACTTGCAATTTCTTGCTTTCGAACTGCTAGGTTGGCAGGAGCTGGAACTAGAGATGGGAGCTCACTCCGTCATGCGGCACCCGGGTCTCGAACTGCTGAACTACTGACTCCCACAGCTTGCAGTTCAGCGTCTTAACCACTTGAGAAGTTCTAGAGCTGAGTCTTTTGTCCAATTCACCCCTACTACCGCATCTATACCTTTGGTTCCAGATCAGCCTGGCTGTATTTTACTAAAATGTCCCCCCGTTTTTTCACCCTGCCTTTAATAACAGATGCATGGTAGGCAGAAGTTCAACAGATTAATCTCTCTCACATGCACACACCGCATCTCCATGCTGAGAACAGCTGCAGCTGTTATAGATCCAGAATCCCTGCCTGAAAAAGCGGGACTCACATCCCAGACCTGGTGGCAGGACACTCCCTCCCCCAACACATTGACTGCACAATCATTTCTGGAGGACACTGCCCCCTGGTGACGGCTTACAGGTGATGCTGAGCTCATACAGCTCATGCAGAGGTGGCTGGGAGCTTCCCTTGGGCACGTAGTCCCCCAGACCGATGGTGCTGAGTGAGATGAAGCAGAAATAGACAGACTGCAGGAAGTTCCAATCGCCTTCCAGTGCCCAGAAACAGACAGCTGGGATAAGGATGAAGAGTCCGAGGGTGGTCAGTCCCAGCCCTGTAGCATGCGCCAGGGCAACACGGGCCAGCGAGAAACCCCAGCGCGTGTGGATGTACTGCACGGGCCGATAGCTCACAAAGGGCAGCAGGTGCTGGAGGAGGCAGCCCAGGAGCAGTAACGTCATCGGGATCCCCAGCAGCGAGTACAAGACACAGAATATTTTGCCCCCGTCTGACAGAGGCACTGTGTGGCCATAACCTGCAAGCAAGAGAAACAAGCCATGAGCCTCTGCCCTGAGCGTGCATAGTCACAGTGCTCCCAACAGACAAGGAAAGGCAGACGCAAGTGAGAGAATCACTTTCCTTGGCTCAACCTATACCTAAAACATAAGATGCAAGCTTTCAAGTAACACAGGGTTCTTCTTCAAACAGGATATTCCCAATAGGTTGTTGTTTATAGTAACGTGGTAGCTCTTACAGACTCAGGAATGTAGATTATGTGAAGAACATGTGCACTTTTGTCTATCTGATTTCCGAGTAAGGAACCAGAGTGAAAAACCACTCCCACTCTGTTTGCACATGTCTACAACCTTCACACCCAAACCAGGAAGAAATGCTCACCATTTAATCACAGCAATCTTTATGATGTCAGTTTAAAGTGTGTTCAGTGGCAATTGGCTCCTTTTACATTATCTTGAAAATGTAGCTTAAAGAATGATTTCCCCCCTATCATTTCTCTTTGCTGATAGGTCCCCTCTAGCAACCCTCTCTAAGTCATCCCCCCAAAACAAAAAAGGAAGAATGGTTTCCAAGGGACAGAGGTACAAAAAATCAGGATTGCCCCAGGTTGCATGGGTATGTATATTCTGAATCATATCTCAGTTCATTTGAACCTTCCTGGAGATTCAAATATGTACGTGTGTGTTTGCTCTTAGGGAGATGGCCCAGGCCCCAGAATGAGGCTATTTGAGTGGCAGTCTGGAGTTAGTTCCTTGTTTTAAAAGACCTCTCCTTTCCTTCCTTGAAGCCCCCCCCCCATGCCAACCCTTTCCTTGTTCTTACTGTGTGTTTAGACATCACCTCTAATCCCACTTAAATGCTACCTCCTAGAGTTGCCACCCGGACATCCTGTTTACAGCCTATATTTTGGGAGTTCAGTTCTGAATGCCCAAAGCGCTTATTACTGGAGACATTGTCTCCACGCTTTCTGGAAAGGCAGAATGACATGCCTGAACAAAGGAACTTTAATCACTGATGCCTGAAGTTTTAACAATGTGTGCTTGTGAAAGAAAAGGGTTTGGCAGTGGAGAGTTTGCTGCAACATAATGCAGAGGTTTTAATGAAGCATTTTCTCTCCCATACAAACAAAAATTGCCGTAGTGGGATAACAAAAGCTTATCTTGACTATTCAATGTTAGTAACCTGTTTTCCAGCCTGGCATTTCCTACTCTGAGCTACGCTCCGAGAGAGGCAGTTCATCTCGCCTCACTGGAGCATCAAATGGCTGGCCCGTCCCAGTTCTGCCTGGTTAAAAAGTGGCTGCTCTTTAACTGTAGCTGATTTCCGTTTATGATGTTTGGTTCTATTAGTGCCTTCATGGACTTTCAGTTTTCAAGTTTCCCTTTGTGTCACTGTTATGTCAACACTGCCAAGAAAACGTGCTGGCAGGAAAGACAGAAACCTGCCATGTGATAGAAAAGGGGTCTCAGGGGCCCCGAGGCTAGTTCACTGGAGTGATTTTGGGGAGACGGGACACTGCAGGCTGCAACTTCAGGTCCTAGGGGTGAGGAATGGGGAGGGGGGTTAGGGTCAGCTCCAGATTGAAATGGGGTACATGGCCGTAGAGTCCACCCTCCAAAGGATCAATTTTCTCCAGGGAAAATGATCTCTGTAGTCTGTTGATGAGCAGCAATTCCAGGAGATCCCCAGGTCCCACCTTGAGGCTGGCATCCCTACCAAGTCATGCACATCCTTACAACTAAAGGATTTGCAGCCCCCAATTCATCCCTACTACTACACCAGTTTGGTGTAGTGGTTACGAGTGGCAGACTCTAATCTGGAGAACCCGGTTTGAGTCCCCACATGCGGCCAGCTGGGTGACCTTGGCTGGGTCAGCCACAGATCTTTCACAGCTCTCTCTGCCCCACCGACCTCACAGGGCATCTGTTGTGGGGAGAGGAAGAGGAGGAGATGGTGAGCCGCTCTGGGACTCCGAGTGGAGGGCAGGGTATGAAAACCAACTCATCCCTTCAGGGTCTTCGGTAGCAGCCTCCCCGCCCCCCAATCCCATGTCTGGGGATTTGAAGGATGGTCAGAAAAGTCTGTCCAGTTTGCCACTGAAGGGTGAGCCTTTCTGTTTCGGCTGGGCAGATGGAGGCTGTCTTTCTTGTGGGGTGGTCCCACCCTACCCCGCACCTCCAACGGTTTCCCGCCACCCCTTTTGCTCCGGACCTGATTCAGGGCCTTTGCCAGGCCAGCCGAACACAGCAAGAAGCTTCCCCTTAATTTGCAGGTGCTGCTGAGCCCCTAGGAGGTCAAGTGTCAGAGGCTCAGAGCCTTACCACCCTAACCCTCCTGTTCTGTATTTAGAGGCCCCTCCTCATCGACGGACTTGACTGGTGAGGCCCGGGGGCAGGGCTCAGCAGGCTGCTGGCGGGGGGTGGGGGGCAGTGTTCCCTCTAAGCTGAGTTAGTGTGAGCTAGCTCACAGTTTTTTAGCCTCCAGCTCACACACTTTTATCTTGGCTCAGGAAGGATGGGGCTCCAGAGCAAACTAAATTAGGCAGTAGCCAAATCACTCACTCGTTAGTGCTAGTAGCTCACAAAGTAGAATTTCTGCTCACCAGACTCCACAGCTTAGAGGGAACATTGGTGGGGGGCCGTCATAGGGGTCACGCATTGGACACCAGCTCCGGCCCAAGGCTGGGGGGGGGGGGGGCCCCACAGGGCCCGGCTGCCGCTTACCGGTGGTGGTGAGGACGCTGGCGGTGAAGAAGAGCGCCGAGGTGAACTCCCAGTTCTCGTCGCCGGAGACGTTGCCGAGGCCGGACACGCCGTAGTTGCCGGCAGCCACCAGGCGCTCCAGCAGGCGCTCCAGCCGCGGCGCCGAGAGGCAGGCGCGGTACTCGTGCAGGAGGCGGGCGCGGGCGGCGCGCAGCTCCCGCCGCAGGGCTTCCTCCGGCGCGCCCTCCAGGGCCACCAGCACGCCGGCGCCCAGCAGCAGGAAGAGCAGGTAGGCGCCCAGCAGCAGCCCGTAGCGCCACGGCCGCGGCACGCCGCCCAGCTCCATCGCCCCGCTCAGCCACACCTGTGCCAGCTCGCCCAGGTGAGCCTCTCAGGTGAGCTGGCCCCGGCCCAGGGCGGCTTCCCGGCCGGGCGGTGCGCAGAGACGCGGCCCCCACCCCTCCGCCCACATGGGAGCAGAGGCGGCGGCAACGGGGTGAAACGAGGCGCGAGAAAGAGGGGAAGCAGGTGAGCCCTGGGCCAAGAAGGGAAGGCTTCTCGCGTTAGAAGTGACCAGTCAACAACACTGTAGATATTGCGAAGTTGAAGTGCTGCTGTTTGTAGGAAAGTAAAATGTTAATTAAATAAGCTGTAACTAACTAGGTAAGATAGGCAAGCTGACTTGAGGAGACTTCTGGTGGGGATACTATAACCAGGGAGTGTTTCATCTGGTTTTTATTGGCTGTTTGGAAGTGAGTCATTGGCATTCCTCTGAAGGCTCTACTGACTGAGGGCATGCAGTCTGTTAGATATACCAGTAACATGTTTTCTAAGTAAAAGCAAGTTTTGTTGTTGTTACAAAGTTTAGACTACGCACAGTGTTGAGTCAATTTATTTTTAATTAACCAGCACCTAGCCCCAGCAGGGTGCTGTGAGAACCTGCAGGAACTAGGAAATAAGAGAGTTGAGGCTACTTTGGGATTGCTGCTTCAGGCGCCTTCCTGAGTCTGGCTTTTGCCTCTGGTAAGTAGCATCAACAGCGCTGTTTATGATCTGCAAAACCTGCTCACTGCAGTAGCAACTGCAGGCCTAAATTAAGATGTATAGACACTGTAGGCAGTGAAACCTCCACCTTCAGCTCCCTTGAAGAAGACGTAGGAGC